GTCCCCCTCAGTGCACCGATGTAAGGACAGATGTAGGTGACATCTTTAGCTGTTAGAAAGGGGGAAAAAGGTTTGAGGTCATTACATTAAACTCAAAATAACCCATAGCTGGCCACAAGGGGGGGGGGGGGGGACTTACCCATGTCTTGCACACTTTCCTTTGGTAGTAACTGTGGTTCTTCTTTGTTTGAATCCCTGAGCACCTGTATATATAAAAATATTGCATTTAAAGGTCAAACATACAGAGTAGCCAATTGCAAATAGCAAGTAGATTATTTTAATTCAAACGCCAACACAAATCTTTGAGGGAAGATGGATTGAAGAATATACCTTGGCAACCGCTTTAGGTCTGCCCTGAAATCAATAGAAGAAAAGCAAGAGGGTTAAATGCAGACATGTTTTAGATGTTACTGCTACAGTAGTAGACCTAAATCTACATAAAGTTGTAGGTGAAAAGCCATATACCAACCCGTAGCTCTGGGGAGACCTCTGTTGAGATGGCCACATTGTCAGAAGACATTGCAAAGGGGGGCTTGGCAGCGTGAGTGGACCTGTCAGAATGAGAGGTGGAGGTACTGTGAAGAGAATGGCAGAATACATGTTCTTTATCTTAGGACACTGAGCACTGAGCAATAATACCATACCTAGCCCAGGGGACTGGAGAAAATATCCACTGTCTGTCATAGACCCTCTGTTTTTCCGTCCCCTGGGCTACTTCAATTGCACCCAGACTAGATGGCTGTGGAATCTGCCATTATGTGTCTAGCTAACTACACTGAACAAAAATATAAACGCAACATGTAAAATGTTGGTCCCATGTTTCATGAGCTTAAATAAAAGACCCCATAAATGTTCCATATGCACAAAAAGCTTATTTCACTCAAATTTTGTGCACAAATTTGTTTACATCCCTGTTAGTGAGCATTTCTCCTTTGCCAAAATAATCCATCCACCTGACAGGTATGGCATAGCAAGAAGCTGATTAAACAGCATGATCATTACACAGGTGCACCTTGTGCTGGGGACAATAAAAGGCCACTAAAATGTGCAGTTCTTTCACACAACACATGCCACAGATGTCTCAAGTTTTGAGGGATTGCGCAATTGGCACGCTGACTGCAGGAATGTCCACCAGAGCTGTTGCCAGATAATTTAATGTTCATTTCTCTACCATAAGCCACCTCCAATGTCAATTTAGAGAATTTAGCAGTACGTCCAACCGGCCTCACAACCGCAGATCACATGTAACCACGCCAGCCCAGGACCTCCACGTCCGGCTACTTCACCTGTGGGATCGTCTGAGGCCAAACACCCTGACAGCCGATGAAACTGTGGGTTTGCACAACCAAAGAATTTCTGCACAAACTGTCAGAAACCGTCTCAGGGAAGCTCATTGCGTGTTCTTCGCCCTCACCAGGGTCTTGACCTGACTGCAGTTCCACGTCGTAACCGACTTCAGTGGCGTTGTGTGGGCGAGCAGTTTGCTGATGTCAACGTTGTGAACAGAGTGCCCCATGGTGGCGATGGGGTTTTGGTATGGGCCAGCATAAGCTACGGACAACAAACACAATTGCATTTTATCGATGGCAATTTGAATGCACAGAGATAATGTGACGAGATCCTGAGGCCCATTGTCATGCCATTCATACGCCGCTATCACCTCATGTTTCAGCATGATAATGCACAGCCCCATGTCACAAGGATCTGTACACAATTCCTGGAAGCTGAAAATGTCCCAGTTCTTCCATGGCCTGCATACTCACCAGACACGTCACCCATTGAGAATGTTAGGGATGCTCTGGATCGACGTGTATGACAGCGTGTTCCAGTTCCCACCAATATCCAGCAACTTCGCACATTGAAGAGGAGTGGGACAACATTCCACAGGCCACAATCAACAGCCTGATCAACTCTATGCAAAGGAGATGTCACGCTGCATGAGGCAAATGGTGGTCACACCAGATACTGACTGGTTTTCTGATCCATGCCCCTACCTTTTTTTTAAGGTATCTGTGAACAACAGATGCATATCTGTATTCCCAGTCATGTGAAATATATAGATTAGGGCCTAATTTATTTATTTCAATTGACTGATTTCCTTACGTTAACTATAACTCCGTAAAATCTTTGAAATTGTTGCATTTATATTTTTGTTCAGTATAGTTAGTACTACTAGTAGAAAATAAGGCTACTTTCCAGTGGTGGAAAAGGTACCCAATTGTCATACTTCAGTAAAAGTAAAGATACCTTAATAGAAAATTACTCAAGTAAAAGTGAAAGTCACCCAGTAAAATACTTCTTCAGTAAAAGTCTAAAAGTATTTGGTTTTAAATAGAAGTATCAAAAGTAAATGTAATTGCTAAAATATACTTAAGTAAAAAAGTATAAATCATATATATTAAAGAAACCAGACGGCACCATTTTCTTGTTTTTTTATTTGCGGATAGCCAGGGGCACACTCCAACACTCAAGACATAATTTACAAACGAAGCATTTGTGTTTAGTGAGTCTGCCAGATCAGAGGCAGTAGGGATGACAAGGGATGTTCTCTTGATAAGTGCGTGAATTGGACCATTTCCCTGTCCTGCTAGCCATTCAAAATGTAACGAGTACTTTTGGGTGTCAGGCAAAATGTATGGAGTAAAAAGTACATTTTCTTTAGGAATGTAGTGAAGTAAAAGTTGTCAAAAATATGAATAGTACAGTACAGATACCCCAAAAAACTACTTAAGTGCTTTACACTACTGCTGCTTTCTTGGGCAAACTGTTTACCTTCTCGGGCTGCCTCCCATATCGACTTTTGTAACCCTAATCCCAGTAAGGTTTAGCTAACACTTCAACATACTTAATTGAATTACACTAGTATAATGACATACAGTATCTTCACTATCGAGAATTATACGGCGCATTTTAGATAGCGAGTAGCATAGCCAGCTATACAAGCTCCTGTCAATCGACTACACAGGCAGCTAGTTGAGCGAGCCCCACCTGGACAATGAATTAACACTCGGCTGCCTTGACAAGGATTGCTTCGAGCCCAGACTGTCGATGCCCCCGGTGTTCTCCATGGTAAATCTTGGTAAAGTTTTCAAGTATATGAATTAACTGGTTTTTGAGGCGATAGGGCAGATATCTACATGCAACTGTTTTGAATCCGTTCTTGGTGAAAAGTAAATCCAAGGTACAGACATGAAGCTGCCATCTTTTCCCAGAGTTCCCTGACCCTATCCATTATAACGGCAGTGTTTTTTTTTTACATCTCGTTTGTTCGGAGCTATTTTTTACAGTCCATCTATGGTTTGGAGTTGGGGGTTGCGCCCCCTGCCGCCATTACTGGTTATTACATGTAGCCCACCGCTATCAACATTATCAAGAGCTAAATGCTCCAGGATTATAGATTTTTTTTTAAATGAGAAATATGGGGAGAGAAGGTGAAGATAAGGTATGAGAAAGTACACGTACTCAACACATTGTGTGCTAAACATTTTATTAGTGCACAGATATTAGAAACAAATATAAATATCCAGTGCATCATGTTAACATGTAGATTCAAGAATTCACAGAATTATCTATATTTTTGGTATTTGGAAATTGATAAATGCAAACATAGATACATCAACATAAGAACTTAATATAGCTAGCTGTTGCAAAAAACTAAATGCATATCGACCCCATGCCATTTAAAGTGGACTTTGGAGGAGTTCTGACCAGAGTACGGTCCATGTGCGAGTGGTTCTTTAAGCCTGCTATAAAAATGTGTTCCGGAAAGCTTCACGTTCAGCTGCACTCTGCCTGCGGTCATGAGATGTGCCCCTGCTACTGTGACCGCACCACGATCTACATGTCACCCATTCAAAAAGCAATGCCCAAATGGGGAGCTGATCAGACCAGATTTACACAAACTCTGAAAACAACGTTTAGGGGGATACAGGGGAGAAGAAACATGTTAAGAAAAATATGTGTGCTATAAACTAGTAAATTGATAATATATATATATACAGTAGGCCTACATTATCCATTCCAATCACCAACATTGTTATATATACACAATACCACAAAGTATATATTATCAATCGAGCAGTTTCTCATGTTGAAGGCAACTCAGACAAAGTAAGGCAAGCTTGTAACATTCTGTTTACAAAAGGGGTGAAAGTATGGTCCGTTACCGCGTCCCGGCAAAATAAATAATGGGGGTATGTTTACCGGTAAAACGTGAGCTATTACAATTAATACAACATGACCAAAAAACTATATGCTATTACACCATTATTTAACATTACTGCATGTCAGCCACATGAAAAATTTGCGAATTGACTGGAAACCGGGTGAATTTCGCTCCAAATTGCGTTGTGGTTTGAGGAGAACACTTACATTTTGTCAAGGCGGAGATGAGTGGCGGAGATCGAGGCGCGCATGGTCAACAGTGGATGCATCAAATCAGGCTATAAGTGTAAGCCAAATGACAATCGCAGAATGTTATTACAAAACACGTAGGTGTTTTGTAACGGATGTCTCTTTCCATTCATCAAATTGAGGGTGCACAGTCCACTGTTGGGGTTTGGATGCTGAAATTATTTTGTGAGTGGACGAATGTGTGCGGGTAGCCTACAGGAGCGCCTTTGTTAAGTGATTGTTTGACAATCAGATTAAAACATAATTATTATGCCACATTAAAAGGCATCGGCGGCGTGTCCATAAGTCTAGGGGAAGCTTTCCCTAAAGTAAATTGAATTAAATCGCCAAAATTGTATAGCCTAATTAGAGCTTACTCCTGTCTATACAGATATAAATCAAATCATTCAAAATAGGCTACTACACCAGAAAGCATAATTTGGCCACAGAGGATTATTAGCTAAAAATGAAAATAAAAAGCTGTGGATTGCTTTCAATCGCATAGCCTACAGTCGGGAGGGCCCGAAATTTGGGCAGTGCGGGGTGCAAATACCAAAGTAGATGATTGTTGAGTTACTACGGTCAGTGAAAAGCAGAGAGGCATATCACAATATTTAAAAATACAATCGCGGAAAAACTGTTTGGGAAGAAAATGGTTATTGCTATAAAGAGATGACAATGGAAAGACTCCAATCTGTATTTTCGTTATCAAAATTCTTAACTTAATTGAGCGAACAGTAGCCTACATTATTGGCACCAGCAGAGAACATCGGCCATATCCCCGGTGTGTGCATATTCACTGTCTTTGTCATTTGGTCAGTGCCACTTTTCGTTTTTATTTATCTGTTTGTCAGTGTTAGCGGAGTAGGCTACCCTGTACTTTCTGTAGTATATACAAAAAATGCTTGCGCGCACCTGGGTGTCCCATACCGGTAAGAAATGTAATTTACTTTCACCCCAGGTTTACAATGTAAGTGTTTCTACCTGATAACGCTCAATACCTGCCTTTTAAAGATTCACATACAGTTCAAATATCATTGTGAGAAACTCAAGGCAAAGGAAAAATTATAATTTGTAAAATGAGTTTAAAGCCATCATAGTATTCTTCTCTCCAATTATGTGTAATCAATCATTTCTGTGTCCCCCTGCTGTCTGCATTGTGGTGTTCCACACCTGCTGCAATGCGAGACACTAATGATCATTTCGATTTTTGTACACATCAGCCACAACACTACACAACAACCTGTAAAATAGGTGCATTTGCAGGGGGAGGTAATAAAATAATGTTGATTGAGCCACACTCCATTTTGGGTATGACATAATATAAAATCAAAAGCCTTTTGATGTAGTTGTTAGTTCTCCATGACTCCTGTTAGTCTTGTTGTGGCCTTGGGCTGGGCTGGAGGGCTACCATTGGTCTCATCATCCATTCCCTGCTCTGTCTGTCTGTCCGTCCTGTCTTCCCTGTTCCGTCTGTCCGTCCTGTCCGTTCTGCTCGACCTGTAGCTGCTCAAACTCTGCATCTAGGTAGTCCAGAGAATAGTTTCCGGGCCACCGCTTAATGTTGAGCTTGTGAGAAACCCTGCCCCACTGTTCTCTGTTGCTGGCCACGGTTTCATACAGCTCTGCCGACCTGGGGAACAGGTCCTGGAGGAGTCTGTAGGAGGAAGTAGAGGAAAGCCGGGGGGGAAGTATAATCAGACACAAGCCAAGGAGGGTTCCACTAATATGCACATACAACACAAAACAGTTCTCATTGCCTGAGATAACAATTACACCCCTCATCTCCCAGATATGGGGGTTAGGGATCAGTCAGAGGCTCACTTATAGATGGGCATGGCTATGTGCTCCATGAAGCTTGTCTGCAGCTCTGGGATGTAGGCCTTCTCCCTGTCCATCATCTCACTGGGACGGTTCCCCATAGCCTTCTCCTGCAGCCACAAGCACAGGGACACACACACACACTCACACAGAGGAAATTGTTAAGGTTCCTGTACCACATGGAGACAGAAAACAATATGATGCATACCATATTTGGCATTCATAAAAACATTTCCATACCAGATCTCCTTGAGAAAAGAATTCCTTGTAAATAAGTCCCTGAAACAAAAACAGACATGAGTTTCATGTGAACATACTGCATGGAGGCCTACACCATCTTACTAAGACCAATAAAATGGATATGAATGCGATAAAGAAGGTGAGAACACAGTTGGTTTATTAGAGGAGTCAGATCTAAGTGGGTTCTTACTGCGATCTTCCAGGTGGTCTTCCAGTCCTTGGTCTGGTCAGAGAGGTCACAGGAGGTCATGATCAGGCACAGTAGCAGGTTATGGTGCTGAGGGTCTTTGGTGTTGTAGCCCACTGGAAGACACAACAGAAAGGATGATTATAATAAGAAATGGAAGAGAAGCGAAGTGCTGCCTTTCATAAGACACTGAGACAGGATGTAAGGGGGTGACTTACCATCTGCCATTTTCTGCAAATCCTTCAGGATCCGTAGGTGATGAGCCAAGTCTGTGGCCAGGATGATGTCCCTCATCAGGTCAAGCATCCTCTGGTAGTCCTGGCAATCAAAAGACAACGTGGAAATAGAGTCAAAATAGTACAAAACCAACTAAAAAACCTTATGCGAAAAGAGGACAGTCCTTACATAGCCTTTTGTTTTACCTTTCTAGAGAACTTTTCAAAGATGTTGCAGCCCTGGGTGTTGAGTATGGCAATCGTCTGAGCAAAGTGGTGCCTCTGGAAATGAGAGCCAATTCAATCAGTGGTGAGGCTGAAATTATATTTAATATCCACTCGAGGGCAGCAATGACCCAGTGCACAATCGAGCCATGGTTTTACCTTTTGCCTAGGGAAAGGGGAAACCTAGTCAGTTGCACAACTGAATACATTGATCCGAAATGTGTCTTCCACATTTAACCCAACCCCTCTGAATCAGAGAGGTGCAGGGGGCTGCCTTAATTGACGTCCATGTCATCAGCTCCTAAGGATGAGGGACATGCATAATACCATTCTGATTCATGATGTATTTGTGTTTACCTCCAGCACAGATCCCTCAGAACTATACAGGCCAGCCAACACAGATTTCTGGAGAAGAGAAGACAGAAGAGCTAGTTTGTGTAATACACTCTTCTGTGGCAGTTGGTATGGTATGATATACAGTGCATTCAGAAAGTATTCAGACCCCTTGACTTTTCCACATTTTGTTACGTTACAGCCTTACACTAAAAACAATTTTAATCCCTCATAAATCTACACACAATACCCCATAATGACAAAGCAAAAACAGGTTTTTAGAAATGTTTGCAAATGTATTAAAAAATAGAAAATTAAAAAATTAAAATTACATTTACATAAGTATTCAGACCCTTTACTCAGTACTTTGTTGAAGCACCTTTGGCAGCGATTACAGCCTCGAGTCTTCTTGGGTATGACACTACAAGCTTGGCACACCTGTATTTGGGGAGTTTCTCCCATTCTTCTCTGCAGATCCTCTTAAGCTCTGTCAGGTTGGATGGGGAGGTTCGCTGCACAGCTATTTTCAGGTCTCTCCAGAGATGTTTGATTGGGTTAAAGTCCGGGCTCTGGCTGGGCCACTCAAGCACATCCAGAGACTTGTCCCGAAGCCACTCCTGCATTGTCTTGGCTGTGTGCTTAGGGTCGTTGTCCTGTTGGAAGGTGAACCTTCACCCCAGTCTGAGGTCCTGAACGCTCTGGAGCAGGTTTTCATCAAGGATCTCTCTGTACTTTGCTTCATTCATCTTTCCCTCCAATCAATAGAATTTACCACTGGTGGACTCCAATCAAGTTATAGAAACATCTCAAGGATGATCAATGAAAACAGGATACACCTGAGCTCAATTTTGAGTCTCATAGCAAAGGGTCTGTATACTAAATAAGGAATTCCTGTTTTTGTATTTTTAATACATTTGCTAAAAATTCTAAAAACCTGTTCGCTTTGTCATTTTAGGGTATTGTGTGTAGATTGAGGAAAAAAAAATAATTTAATCAATTTTAGAATAAGGCTGTAACATAATAAAATGTTTTTAAAAAAGGGACGGGTCTGAATACTTTCTGAATGCACTGTTGCTATACACTACCAGTCAAAAGTTTGGACACACCTACTCATTCAAGGGTTTTTCTTTATTTTTACTATTTTTTACATTGTAGAATAATAGTGACAACATCAAAACTACAGGGATGTAGCTCAGTTGGTAGAACATGGCGTTTGCAACGCCAGGGTTGTGGGTTCAATTCCCACGGGGGGCCAGTATGAAAAATTTAATAATGTATGCACTCACTAACTGTAAGTCGCTCTGGATAAGAGCGTCTGCTAAATGACTAAAATGTAAATGTAATGAAATAACACATATGGAATCATGAGTAAACAAATAAAAATATATTTGAGATTCTTCAAATAGCCACCCTTTGCCTTTATGACAGCTTTGCACACTCTTGGCATTCTCTCAACCAGCTTCACCTAGAATGCTTTTCCAACAGTCTTGAATGAGTTCCCACATATGCTGAGCACTTGTTGGCTGCTTTCCTTCACTCTGCAGTCTGACTCATCCCAAACCATCTCAATTGGGTTGAGGTCGGGGGATTGTAGAGGCCAGGTCATCTGATGCAGCACTCCATCATTCTCCTTCTTGGTAAAATAGCCCTTACACAGCCTGGAGGTGTGTTGGGTCATTGTCCTGTTGAAAAAGAAATGATCGTCCCACTAAACCCAAACCAGATGGGATGGCGTATTGTTGCAGAATGCTGTGGTAGCCATGCTGGTTAAGTGTACCTTGAATTCTAAATAAATCACAGCAGGTCTCTTCTTCTTCACCAGCAAAGCACCCCCACACCATAACACCTCCTCTTCCATGCTTTATGGTGGGAAATACACATGCAGAGATCATCCGTTCACCCACACTGCGTCTCACAAAGACACGGTGGTTGGAACCAAACATTTCCAATTTGGACTCCAGACCAAAGGACACATTTCCACCAGTCTAATATCCATTGCTCGTGTTTCTTGGCCCAAGCAGGTCTCTTCTTCTTATTGGAGTCCTTTAGTAGTGGTTTCTTTGCAGCAATTCGACCATGAAGGCCTGATTCACACAGTACCCTCTGAACAGTTGATGTTAAGATGTGTCTGTTACTTGAACTCTGTGAAGCATTTATTTGGCCTGCAATTTCTGAGGCTGGTAACTCTAATGAACTTTTCCTCTGCAGCAGAGGTAACTCTGGGTCTTCCATTCCTGTGGCAGTCCTCATGAAAGCCAGTTTCATCATAGTGCTTGATGGTTTTTGCGACTGCACTTGAAGAAACTTTCAAAGTTCTTGAATTTTTCTGTATTGACTGACTTTCATTTCTTAAAGTAATGATGGACTGTCATTTCTCTTTGCTTATTTGAGCTGTTCTTGCCATAATATGGACTTGGTCTTTTACCAAATAGGGCTAACTTACTAGAGATCCTGGTTCGAATCCAGGCTCTGTCGTAGCTGGCCGCGACCGGGAGACCCATGGGGCGGCGCACAATTGGCCCAGCGTTGTCCAGGGTAGGGGAGGGAATGGCCGGCAGGGATGTAGCTCAGTTGGTAGAGCATGGTGTTTGCAACGCCAGGGTTGTGGGTTCGATTCCAGTATAAAACAATTTTTAAAAATGTATGCACTAACTGTAAGTCGCTCTGGATAAGAGCGTCTGCTAAATGACTAAAATGTAAATGTAACTTCTGTATACCCCCCTACCTTGTCACAACACAATTGATTGGCTCAAACGCATTAAGAAGGAAAGAAATTCCACAAATTAACTTTTAAGAAGGCACACCTGTTAATTGAAATGCATTCCAGGTGACTACCTCATGAAGCTGGTTGAGAGAATGCCACGAGTGTGCAAAGCTGTCATCAAGGCAAAGGGTGGCTATTTGAAGAATCTCAAATATAAAATATATTTTGATTTGTTTAACACGTTTTTGGTTACTACATGATTCCATATGTGTTATTTCATAGTTTTGATGTCTTCACTATTATTCTACAATGTAGAAAATAATAAAAATTAAGAAAAACCCTGGAATGAGTAGGTGTGTCCAAACTTTTGACTGGTACTGTACATACAGCATAGGAGTCTGTGTGTTTGTGGTATGTGGGATCTTACCGATGCCACCTGGAAGGAGTTGTTGGTCCCTCTGTGGTCCAAGTCATGACACATGCAGGACACAAAAAGAGCAAACATCTCGATGTCCCTGAAACAAGAGAACACTGCAGTGTTATGTGAGTTGTTCATGAGTGTGTTTCACTTTACCGTAGCAAAGTTTGTAAATGCTTATCTATGTGTGTTCGTACTCTAGGTAGTTGGAGAGCTCCAGGTTCTTGCAGAGGAGGTAGCAAAAATGAGAGACTGAGAACGCGTGCATCCAGTTGTGATATGGAGGATCCCTGTAGCCTCTCTTCACCATCAGACAGAACCTGGCCAGTGTGTGCATGTTGATCTTGTAGGTGTTTACGAAGCCCATGTCCTCAAACATGCTGATAATGGCCTGAAAACAGGAAGCATGATCAAGAGACATGAGAAAACAGAAATGATACTACCAGTGTATTTCTCCAAGAGTGTGTGTTGATTGTCTCACTGTGGGTGTGCTGTCGTCTGACAGGGAGCGAGGTGTGTAGGTGAAGTTGGAGAACCTGGGGTGGATTTCCCCTACAGGCTGGATCCCCACAGTCAGTAGCCGGGTCACTTCCTCCTCTGACACCTGAGAGACAGGGTCAAAGATCAGGACATTAACTGCCAAATATAACAAACTGACTAGATCTGCATTCATAGGTTGAAGAGATTAGTTGAATAGGTTGAAGAAGAGCTCTGATTGGATGCTTTACCATCATGTGGTACTTCATCATCTCATTGGCCAGCTGACTCCTAAACTGGGCTTCGTCAACCCTCTTATACAGGAGGGACTGGGGGAAGAACAGAGAGCACAGGAGTCATTCATCATGATGACAATATTGTTGATGACACATTAGTGTTAATCAATATCCTTACTCTATAGAAAAAAAAATGACGCCAGTTAATAATCAGTTATAAGGTCAATAGGATAAGCAAAGAGGATGCCTGTGCACTCACATGAGCGATGCTGATGCCACAGTATATGGAGAAGGCTGTGGCCAAGTCCTCATCCAGGCGGGTGAACCATGGTCCATTGGTCTTGTTGACCAGCTCATCCACCCCAATCACTGAGAGAGAGAGAGAGAGCAGAGGAGAGAGAGAGAGAGGAGGAGAAGAGACAGAGAGAGAGAGAGAGAGAGAAGAGAAGAGAGAGAGAGAGGAGAGAGATAGAGAGAAGAGATAAGTAGAGCGAGAGAGATAGAGAGTAGAGAGAGAGAGAGATAGATCAGAGAGCTGCTCTCGCTCTGAGCTCTCGAGTCCTCACCTCATCGCTAGCTATATCGTCTACTCTCTCTCTCTCTCTATCGCGCGCTCCTCTGCTCTCGTCTTCCTCTAGCTCTCGACTATCTCTCTCTCCTTCTCCGTCCTCTCCCTCCTTGTTCCTTTTGAAATAGAGAGAGAAAGAAAGAGAGGCAGACCTCCGTTTTCATCCTTTATGGGGAAGCAGAGGATGTTGCGTGTCCTGAAGCCTGTGCTGTCGTCCACGGCGCGGTAGAAGAGAGGGTGGGAGTAGGCATCTGTGATGTTGAGGATCTTCCCTGTGGTGGCCACATGGCCTGCTATGCCCTGGTCAGCGGGGATACGCAGCTCTGTCTGAGACGAGAAGAAAAAGGCAATTATACTATGGAAATAACATCCATTTACAATAACATTTGATCTTATACTAAGCTATAAGTCTGTGGATTAGGGCTTTGGTGTGAGTGAGTTTAGGATGACGACACACCTCCTCATTGATAACCACTCCTCCATCAAACACCTTGGCAACCAGCTCATGACTGACACTGTCCAACAGGAACACAGAACAACTGGAGGAGAGAAAGATGGGTCATATTAATCAATGATACTAAGGCTTTTGTTACGATGCTTGTGATAGCCTTATGGTAATACATTACTTACATTTCTGCACTGGTGAGACTCCGTGCTTCTGCAATGATCTCTTTTAGTAGGACTGATACATCATCTGGAGACAGAGATATATAACTGTTGTTATAACAGTAAAAAATGATGACCCACTGTGCCACTAAAACAAGGTTAATAGGTTAAATATGATATTTACCCAGGTGTGTGAAGAGGTTTTTCGCGACTTGAAGCAGAGCCTATATGAACACAGACGGACACAGGTAACAGTTGAGAAGACTAGAAGTGTATTTGTGGGCTAGCTAAAGATTCTCACCAAGTTAGGAATCGTGAAAAAGTACTACTGAATTACTACATAAAACCTCGTCGTGCAGTAGTGATTATGTAGAGACTTGTAGGGATTGTGTAGTGAATGTGTAGTTTATGCACTACTCAAGTTTATGAACTACTGTTTCCAGTAGTTATCAGGTAGAGATTTTTACTACTTGATGTTGGTAGTATATAAGTAGTCGAAACAGTACAGCTTTACTACACAGGCTTTTCAATAATAATCAGATAGAGTTTTTACTACTTGATGTTAGTAGTAAATAAGTATCACAACACTACAGCCAGACTACACCGGCTTCTTGCGACCACAGAAGACGACAAAACAGGAAGTAGTTGGTTGTTGTTATTTAGCTACTTTTTGACAATCCTGAACGTAATCATCTTCCATCCTTCGTCATCCTGTCTTTCATTGCCCTTATGCTGTCACCATCTGTACGTTTAAACTTTCCTTTATGCTTTATGAATACTTTCATGTCGTTGTTTAGCCATTTATATAACTTTTTACCACATCAAAAAGATTGCTAGCAAAAACGATCTTAGCCGTCAGCCGTTGTCATAGAAATGTATTGAGTTTAGCCTAGCTGTTTGCTAGCCCCATTGAAATGTTGCTATGTAGCCCTCAACATAAGAAGACTGGAGAACATTGTTGGTAAGATGAACGTTGTTTATCAAATGTTTTTCTGTGTTGTCTTATGTGACCTCTGTTAGCAGATGATTGATAATGGCTTATAATTGGTTATCTCTTTTGCTTGTCTTTATTTTCTAAAAGGTTAAGTGGTGGAGAAATGTAGCTGCAACAAAAACGAGGCTCTGAAGATATTTAAGTCAAAGCTGAATAAAGACAAGGCCTCAAAGGGATTAACAAAAACATGTAAATATGTAATACATTTTCTATCAATAAATGTTGTATAAGCTTATTATTTATTGGTTGATGATATAACTACAGTTAGAAACTTGAGGAAATAACATGTGCACTAGTCTAGTTGTGACACAGTAGTGAAACAAGTGATTTTGAATAAGCAAACAGTAGTAAATGTAGGAAATGAAAAAGGATCAGGAGCAATTCAATAGTGATCAGTAGTGACACAACCCTACACACAGATGGCACTGGCAGTAATGTGTAGGCATTGTGTAGTAATTCAATGGTGAACATGTAGGAATTGTGTAGGTTTTAAGTAGTAGATACTTAAAACCTGTGTGCCAGAAAATAAAATAACTTATCCCAACCATGAAAGTTGCCTGAGCTCGTGGTTGCTTACATCCACTATGACAGGCTCATTGACCACCCTCCCTCCCAAAAGCCTGCAAGAGATGAGACAGCCAAGCCTATGGGTTCGCAGCTTCAGCCCCGCAGCGCGCACACACACTTACACACACCAACTGATTAATGGACTGCTGAATGTTTTATTTTTTTTTTTTTTTTTACTTTGTTTGTTATTCTCCATATTATGTCTATATCTGAGAAGCTACCTAGGAAAGGGCTGAAAATAGCACATATTAATATATGTAGCCTTTAGAAATAAGGTTCAAGAAATCAATAACTTGCTAATATCAGATAACATTAATATACTGTATTAGCCATTTCTGAGACTCACTTGGATAATTCCTTTGATGATACAGCAGTAGCAATACAAGGGTATAACATCTATAGAAGAGACAGGAATAAATATGGGGGAGGTGTTGCTATATATATTCGGAGCCATATCCCTGTAATGCTTAGAGAAGATCTCATGTCAAGTGTTATTGAAGTGCTGTGGTTGCAGGTTCAATTGCCTGATCTACCGCCTATTATTTTGGGGTGTTGCTATAGGCAACCAAGTGCTAACAATCAGTATCTAAATAATGTGTGTGAAATGCTTGATAGTGTATGTGATGTAAACAGAGAGGTGTACTTTCTTGGGGTCCTGAATATTGACTGGTTTTCATCAAGCTGTCCGCTCAAGAGGAAGCTTCTCACTGTAACCAGTGCCTGTAATCTGGTTCAGGTTATTCATCAACCTATCAGGGTGTTTACAAACACTACAGGAACAAGATCATCCACATGTATTGATCACATGTTTACTAATACTATAGAACTTTGTTCTAAAGCTGTATCCGTACCCATTGGATGCAGTGATCACAATATAGTGGCTATATACAGGAAAGCCAAAGTTCCAAAAGCTGGGCCTAAAATAGTGTGTAAGAGATCATACAAAAGATTTCGCTGTGACTCTTATGTGGATGTAAAAAATATTTGTTGGTCTGATGTGATTAATAATAAGGAGCATCCAGACGCTGCACTTGATTAATTTATGAAATTGCTTCTTCCAGTTATTGTTAAACATGCACCTGTTAAGAAACTGACTGTTAGAACTGTTAAGGCTCCATGGATTGATGAGGAATTGAAAAACTGTATGGTTGAAAGAGATGGGGCAAAAAGAGTGGCTAATAAGTCTGGCTGCACATCTGACTGGCTGACTTACTGCACATTTTATGATCTTTTACGAGATCTAATGTGTTATATTCTCCTACATTAATTTCACATTTCCACAAACCTCAAAGTGTTTCCTTTCAAATGGTATCAAGAATATGTATATCCTTGCTTCAGGTCCTGAGCTACAGACAGTTAGATTTGGGTATGTAACTTTAGGCGGAAATTGAAAAAAAGGGTCTGATCCTTAAGAGGTTAAGCTGCAGCTGGCCCAGAACCGAGCGGCCCGTCTTGCTTTTCATTGTAATCAGAGGGCTAATATAAATACAATGCATGCCAGTCTCTCTTGGCTAAGAGTTGAGGAGAGACTGACTGTATCACTTCTTCTTTTTATGAGAAACATTAATGTGTTGAAAAGTCCAAATTGGTTGCATAGTCAACTTGCACACAGCTCTGACACACACACACTTACCCCACCAGACATGCCACCAGGGGTCTTTTCACAGTCCCCAAATCCAGAACAAATTCAAGAAAGCGTACAGTATTATATAGAGCCATTATTGCATGGAACTTCCTTCCATCTCATATTGCTCAAATGAACAGCAAACCTGGTTTAAAAAAACAGATAAAGCAACATCTCACACACAATGCCTCGCCCCTATTTGACCTAGATATTTTAAGTGTATGTATTAATATGTAGGCTATGTGTGCCGTTTTTTAATTTGTCCTTGAGCTGTTCTTGTTTATTAATGTTCTGTATTATGTCATGTTCCATGTTTTGTGTGGACCCCAGGAAAAGTAGCTGCTGCTTTCGCAACAGCTAATGGGGATCCTAATAAAATACCAAATACCCAAAAGCTCAGTAGTTACACAGTAGTCATTAACGAATAATTATGTAGTGATTTGGGAAGGAAATATGTAGTGTTCACCGGTAGTGAAATGTCCCAATTTACTACTTAAATTACTACATAAATCACTACTGGTTTACTACACATCTCAATAGCAATCAAGTAGTAAAACCAGTAGGTTTTGTGTAGATCTTGTGTAGTAGTGATGAGTAGTAATTCAGTAGTACTTTTTCATGACTGGTGAGTGCAGTCGGGTAGCGTCTCCTTACCTGGCATTCATACTTGAGTCTCTGTTCCTTCTGGAAGGCCAGTGTGCTGGTCAGTACTGAGGATGTGTAGCAGAAACAGTGCTGCACTATGTGTTCATCCACCTCTGTGTGTCTGAAGGATGACAAGAGCACACACATTTTACAGTAAGACACACACATATGCAGCTACCCATGCACACGCACATACACTCACAGACAGAAGTATGCATGCTTACGCTAACACACATAGCTCTATACCTGTCTGCTCCTTTTTTGTTGAAGGCACAGGCGAGGGCCACAACCTTGGTGGTGGCCCGACACTCAACAGGAACACACAGCATGGAGATAACTTCAAATCCCAGAGTGCTGTTCAGCTGCTGGTGTTCCTCCTACAGTATCAACCCAGAGAAGAGGGAAAAGGGGCAGAGATGTAGAGGACAGGAGCATCAAACACATCCAAACGTACTACTGTTAACACTACAAACACTACAATGCTGATCAGGGAACATTTCAGTGTTCTTACTTGAGTGACGTCTTGCAGGGAGATGCTCTTCCTCTTCTCCACAGCCTGACCAAGGTTACCAAATGTCAGCTGCACGACAGACAGAGACAGACAGACAGACAGAGAGAGGGTGAGGGTCAGGCAGAGTAAGGGGCAGCAGCAGGGGCACAGGTAGTAATGTTAGAGGGATAGAAGGGCTGTGTTGTGTAACTTACAGGGAAACTGATCTCCGCCTTCAGAACCTTGTCTCCAACTACCTGAGGAATAGCAAAGACATCTAACAAACTTGTTTTTGTTTGTGAATTTTTGCAATTTTGCTTTATTTTAGAATATTGAATATTGTGTGTGTACATGTGTACCTGACAGAACAGCTGTTGGTTATCCTCTGATACCAGAAGTAAACAGCAGCACAATGACTGAGTCTGCTCCTCCAGCTGTGAAAACAACAATCCAACCGATTCAGTCAAACAGTCACTCTGTTTATCAAATGATCAACCAGCTCTGATAAATCACAGTTTATTTATGGTTCTGGACTCACATAATGGATTACTTTTAGTTGGAGGGAGGCAGCGTCCAGGTCATACAGCTCTCCTACAGTTAAGAGTGAAAGAATCAACATAAAGTCATTACACATACAGTAGTAATATATTCTAACCTACTATTATCCAATACACTCAACATTGATCTGTCTATAGACAGCAGAATACACGTGCAGGGCCCCATCCCACTATCATACCACAAAGCTTCAGGATCTGATGGTCCAGTGCACTGTGATCCACATCAGGTGTTGTCCTCCTGGTCAGGGATAGACATGATTTCCTGTTGACCTCTAACCCCTGGGTGAGCCTTTGACGCTGCAGGGCCTGGACTCTCTTACAGGCTACGGTGACCTGTGAGGACAATCAGAGTTGAATCAGCAGTAGGCCTGTTGTCTGAGAATGTGATCCCATTAAAGGACTGGTGGGTCTGGAGAAGGACACTTCAGACTCACATGTTTCTCCAGGACATCAAGGCTTTGTTCCTGAGCTTTAGTGGGCTGTGTACAGCAAACCTTTCAGAATAGACAAGACACTCTGTAACAGGCAGTCATATTCAAGCTTTGATAATGTAAGGCAGAGCGGTGAGAGTGTTATGAGGGCGGCAGGTAGCCTAGCAGTTAAGAGCGTTGGGCCAGTAACAGAAAAGGCGCTGGTTTGAATCCCCGAGCCGACTAGGTGAAACATCTATCGATGTGCCCTTGAGCAAGGCACTTAACCCTAGTCGCTCCTGATAAGAGTGTCTGCTAAATGTAAATGATGAGGAGCATGCTCACCAAGAGGAGGGCGGTAGCTACACCCTGGTCCAGGATTGGAATGATCAACACTGTGGTGGAGGTGGAGAAGATGGATGGAAAAAGTATTGAGTGGAGAGGAGGAAAGTATTAGCCAGGAGGAGGACTGTGGACTGTTTTGAACTCTCTGGAATCGTTTAGAGTAAAGTTGCTGTTGCTCACCCTGCAACACAGCCAGATAGACAAACACACACCTCTTTTGTCCTGCTGCAGTGGCTCTGTTAGTTTCTCTCTCTGTTGCTCCTGAAGCTCTGAGGAAGGAAGTCCTTCACACTGTATTCTCCTCTGCTGGACAACCACATCCCTTAGAAAGACAGAGATTTGATTGATTTCGGAACATTACAAACAATGTCACTTGAGGGAAAATGAAGACTGAATTATTACGGTCTGAAGTACTGGTCAACTGGGCACCACATCAGCCCTGTACATTACCTGAGTCTCCCCTCCTTCTGTAGCTCATGGGGTGGTTCTTCACACCACAAGCGTCCTGTCTCTTCATCTAATAGATAGACGTATACACTGTCCTATAAGAGAGAGGGGGGCAGACTGTTAGAGGGGGGAGAAAATATGGTTGGAAAAAATGTTTTGTAACATTATTTGGTCAAACATGTAGAAGTGGGTGGTCTTTGATCTGTTTTGTGTCATTCACTCTGTTTCTTGTTTCTCTGTCAGCCCTACCCCCAGGGAGAATACAGTATAGTGCTGAATAGGATGGAGACAGACAGCAGATATAAATCATGATGGAGACATTAGATACCCACCACTTCATAAAAGACAGTCTGGAGAGCCTCTCTGATGGCATCCTGGAGGGAAGAGGAGTCTGTGACTGAGGCCAGTTGGAGCAATGCATACTGGGAAATAAAATAAGGGGAAAGAATAATTAATATCGTGGTGACTTTGATGCACAGATATACAGAGAAGAAGAAGGAGCAGGAATGGGCTCTGGATGTTACTCACACAGAGCTGCCTCTCCAGTAGATCATATTCACTGGAGACACATGCACTGTAGAATACAGCCAGACCGACCAGTGACACTTACAACACACTCACAATTACAGCAATCAATACAGGATATTAGGCCTTATCTCAAAGGATGTAGCTGGGTCAATTCTCTAACTGTCAAACTGTGACTGGCAACCCAACACTCAGCCTCCAAAAATTGTAAGACAGAATATAAAATAAATTAAAGTAGGCTATGTTAGATTCATTGCATTACCAAAGGACATCCCGTGTTCCTTCATAATTTAGCTAAATTTAAAATGGAAACTGGTTTTAATATTGTTTGATAGCTGTATTTATTTGTAATGACAACAGTTGAATGTTCACATGCACAGTGAATGCCCTGGAGAGAGTGCCTGTTTTATACTGCGTGATCATTTATTGATGCAGTTTATAATCCTTGGACACACTTGTCACACAGGCAACCTTCACTTGCCTTAGAGTCTAAATTACAAACAGGTCTGGAGAAACAACTTCATCATACACAGTGATAATCCTTAATCCCAGAAACCAGCGTGAGCTCAGTTAAACGTCAAAAAACTAAACCTCAACTAAATCTTATAATAAATCATGTGGAAATGGAGCAAGTTGAGGTGACTAAACTGCTTGGAGAACCCTGCATTGTAAACTGTCATGGTCAAAACATGTTGATACAACAGTAGCTAAAATAGGGAAAAGTCTCTCCATAATAAAGCGCTGCTCTACCTTCTTAACAGCACCATCAACAAGGCAGGTCCTACAGGCCCTAGTTTTGTCGCGCCTGGACTTCTGTTCAGTCGTGTGGTCAGGTGCCACAAAGATGGACCTCGGAAAATTACAATTAGCTCAGAACAGGGCAACACGGCTGGCCCTTAAATGTACACGGAGAGCTAACATTAATAATATGCATGTAAATCTCTCATGGCTCAAAGTGGAGGAGAGAGGTGTCTGTTTAAACCACTAGCACACAGCTCGGATACCCATGCATACCCCATAAGACATTTATAAAATGTGCTATGCTGATTGAGCTATGCTGCTGAACCTGATGCAGCAGTGTCTTTTTTGGGAACGTCTTTTACTACTATCACTTTTCTCAAGAGCCCTTCGGAGGAGCAGAGTAAACATGGCCTCGCCCTCTAGTCTCCGTGGAATGTACGTCATATAGGGTGTCTCAGGTAAATAACAGCACAGGAAGTAGTAGTATTCATGCTTGCATAGCAGCATCTGGTGTTTACCCTCTTTATCTTACAAGTGTGGGGAATTTCTGATGCAAACGCTACTGACGTTGGAGTTATTTTACAGGCAGCAACACGTACCTGTGCACTCCTAAACATTGTGAATAGGGGAGGAAAACACACGCACACACACACAGGGTGAGTCAGACAAAGGTCAGTAATGTATCTGAACCACCCCAGCACCCATCGCGTTTGGAATCATGTGTCTGCTGGTTGAATTGATCTATGCTAAAGTTCACAGTAACCTTATGGAGAATATAAGCACCAAGTAATCACATCACCTGGAATCAATAAGATTCCTCCTACACTATATGGAATGCCTATCTGCTTTACAATACAGTCCTGCTTTAACTCCTGAGCTGCCTCATCTGAGGTTATTAACATTTGACCTTTGACCTGGGGCTATGGCAGGCCAGCCTGGAGGTGACATCTGTCGTTGTCTGAGTTAGAGCAGAAATGAAAAGTCTCTCCGCTGTCATTTCATAGGCAATACTAACACTATCATTGCTGGCAAACACACTTCAAATCCTTTAAGAAAAAGATGAGGGAAAGGAAAAATCTAAATAAGCCTGATCATATTTCCTGACTGCTGCAGCTAGAGCCAGAGTTGGCTGGTAAAGGTGTTGGATGAGAAAATTACTGAACAAGACCATGCAGGCAAGACCTACTGCAGCGAATGAGTGAGCATTACCTTCCTGATTATACACACACACACACAGGCATGCACACAACCACGCACACAAAGTAAATGAGTCCACCTTAGTGTTTATCTTTAGACAGTGTTCAGACTTTGTCCTATAAACAGTAACGAGGTGTCTTGTAAATTTGCTCCCATTAGTCTCCACTCTGGTGGAGGAATAGGATTATACTGTATATAATAGGATTCATACACGTCTTCCTGCTTTGGCGTCATTGGGCCTTTGTTCGCTGTATCTGCTTTATGTTTGGTACTGTGTGTATGGAAATGTACTGAAAATAGGTCACAGGTCAGGAAGTTGTTGGTGTGGGATGTGTGAAGTAGGCTGTGATACATAAATGAGACACCCTGAAACAAGACTGGGACACAGAAAACTAGGGCAGACTTAGGGAGTGACAAACAGGGGTCCCGCTTGTTAAAATTGACAAAATTGGGGGAAGGAAAGTGCGTGTGAGAGACACAGAGAGATCAGAGAGAAAAAGAGGGAGAGAGAGCATTACGTACATAGCTATGATAGCATAATTTCACAGTCATTTCAGTGCATTAAACCCATATCTGAATGCGTCATCAGGAGGATAAATAGGGAGAAATTCACCATACCACTGTCTGCCTACATAGGCTACTAGCTTCTTAATCCACTGGGAAGTTTCTGTTAACCCCATGTATAGTGTATACAGAGACCTCTTTTATCAGACATGCCAAAACATCCACACCATCCTCACTGGGAGTGTCAACACTATTACTCTGGCCTGTATTCATTTGCTTGGCAGATACACTTATCTCTGGAGTCAAACATCTGTCTTTTAACCTTTACCTATGACAGGTAGCTCACACTCACAATCTGCTATTTTCATCAGCAACAGTTTATTACATATTTTGCTATCTGCTGCTAATATATTACAGTGTGTTAGGGGGTGTTCAGACCTTTTGGTTCAGCATTATGCCATTGACTGCCTGAAAGCACGGTGACTGAGCAAACTGAGGGGTTCATATAGAAATGTACAGTGCATTCGGAAAGTATTCAGACCCCTTGACTTTTTCCAAATTTTCTTAAGTTACAGCTTTATTCTCAAATTGGTTCAATATTTTTTTCCCTCATCAATCTACACACAATACCCCATAATGACAAAGTGAAAACCGGTTTTTATAAATTTTTGCACATGTATTAAATATAAAAAAAACAGAAATACCTTATATACATAAGTGTTCAGACCTTTTGCTATGAGACTCGAAATTGAGCTCAGGTAAATCCTGTTTCCATTGATCATCCTTGAGATGTTTCTACAAATTGACTGGAGTCAATCTGTGGTAAATTCAATTGATTGGACATGATTTGGAAAGGCACACACCTGTCTATAGAAGGTCCCACAGTTGACAGTGCATGTCAGAGCAGAAACCAAGCCATGAGGTCGATGGAATTGTCTCCGAGATAGGATTATGTCGAGGCACAGATCTGGGGAAGGGTACCAAAAAATGTCTACAGCATTGAAGGTCCCCAAGAACACAGTGGCCTCCATCATTCTTAAATGGAAGAAGTTTGGAACCACCAAGACTTTTCCTAGAGCTGGCCGCCCGGCCAAACTGAGCAATCGGGGGAGAAGGGCCTTGGTCAGGGAGGTGACCAAGAACCCGATGGTCACTCTGACAGAGCTCTAGAGTTCCTCTGTGGAGATGGGAGAGTTTTCCAGAAGGACAACCATCTCTGCAGCACTCCACCAATCAGGCCTGTATGGTAGAGTGGCCAGACAGAAGCCACTCCTCAGTAAAAGGCACATGACAGCCCGCTTGGAGTTTGCCAAAAGGCACCTAAAGACTCTCAGACCATGAGAAACAAGATTCTCTGGTCTGATGAAACCAAGATTGAACTCTTTGGCCTGAATGTCAAGCGTCACGTCTGGAGGGAACCTGGCACCATCCCTACGGTGAAGCATGGTGGTGGCAGCATCATGCTGTGGGGATGTTTTTCAGCGGCAGGGACTGGGAGTCAGGACTAGTCAGGATTGAGGGAAAGATGAACGAAGCAAAGTACAGATAGATTCTTGATGAAAACCTGCTCCAGAACGCTCAGGACCTCAGACTGGGGCGAAGGTTCACCTTCCAACAGGACAACGACCCTAAGCACACAGCCAAGTCAACGCAGGAGTGGCTTCGGGACAAGTCTCTGAATGTCAATGAGTGGTCCAGCCAGAGCCCAGACTTGAACCCGACCTAACATCTCTGGAGAGACCGTTTCTTTGTATATAGATTTGCAAAAATTTCAAAAAAATGGTTTTTGCTTTGTCCTTGTGGAGTATTGTGTGTAGTTTGATGAATTTCTTTTTTTTTTAAATCCATTTTAGAATAAGGCTGTAACGTAACAAAATATGGAAAAGGTCAAGGGGTCTGAATGTACTATCTGGCACAATTTGCCCGTGCCATTATATCCTCAAAACACAAGCTTCTCTGGCATTATCACTTAAATATAGTATAGTAGTAAAATTATAATTAGCTTGTTTGGGTGGTTCTCAGCCTCATTCCATGTGAATAAGAGAGAAGATCGTAAGAGAATGTACCCTAGTATGGATGGATATAAATCAGTCATGCTCCAGCTATGCAGATTTGGGAACTTCATCTAAACAGGAAAGTCTGAATCTATATGAACAACGTTGTCAAGGGCTTAATGGGATGATAGAAGAGAGATGGACACAGTGCCTCTAGCCCCCAGCCTCCACTGTAGTCAGACAAACACTGTTTGTTGGTATCATTAAACAGCAGAGGGGTCAGATGCTAAATACCAGAGGTCTGAAGGATGGCCTGCTGATTCAGCTGTATGTGATTCGGCCCCGATTGATTAGCAGCATGCTAGTTGTGACCCAGAAATACCTTCCCTATTTTTACACCATTGCATGCGCACAGAGTGTGTCAGAGAGCTGACACTGACAGTAACAAACACTGAGCGCCATACTCACTCCAACTGTGCTTTGACAAGTTGCTCAACTGCCAACACCAGCCTCCCATCGGGCCTGTCTCCATTTGCAAACAAGGTTCTGGAGGGTGTTAGTTATAGCTGAGCATCACCCACATAGAGATGCACCCCACTGACAAGTGCTGTGGACAGACAGGAAACGCATCACAGAGTCGTGCACCACCGTGGCATCACTAATGAGCAGACTCATCATGGGGTTCTATGGGCTTGACACTCAACAACATCCCTGATTATCTCTGAGGCTGAGCAGCTATGACGCCATGCATAGACACAGGCCTGCCTGCCTGTCTGTCAGTTAGCATGGAAGACCAACTGAGACTGTCAGTCAGAGGACTCATGGGAGGATTACTGTGGACATATATCAGTGACTTCCCCACTCAGCTCTATAACAGCTGACTGAGTTCTACACTCTCCCAAAACAAAGACACAGACAGACCAGTGAAGAGGTTTTAATGCAAGGGAGGGGGCTGAGAATGGATTAATCCATTGCTCTGTTGTCTTACTGAGAGACTTCAAAAGATAATCAATACACATTTGCCCTCAGGGTTTGATACACATTTCAATTGATGACGTGGCCAGTGACACTTTGCTTCTTGAAAGTCCTTTATCTTGAAAACTTGACTGCTGACATACAACACATTTTGGGACTGTATCAACAGAGGACTAATGAAAAAAATACTAAAGGATAGTTTTGAGTGAATTCTCCCTTTAATATCAAGTCTAATGTGGGGTCGCCCTCATATCATTGCTGCTGTACAAAGCATGCTGTTCTTCCTGGATAATGAGCTCTATCCTGTAGGGAGAGTAATAATAACAGCCAGTCAGCCAGTCATTAATAACTAAGTGTTGATTTCACCTTGCCTGGTGGATCCCCAGAGACTGAGGATAATATCACTTTCTGACTGATGAAATATTCCACCCTCATCACACTGACTGCTGCATTTTCAGCCAGTCACTGTTTACCATGAATAACACTAGAATACACATAAACGCCCATGCAGACACACAGACAAACACTGATAAAGACAAGGACCTGTCCTCCTGCAGCTCTGGAGCCTGTGATTTGAGTGAGGGTCCAACAAGAGTTTTTTGTGAATCCTACTAAAACAAAAATAGCATCAGAGGGCCAGAGAAGGTCACTTTGTCACGCCCTGGCTCTGGGGACTATGTTATGTTGAGCCAGGGTATGTAAGTCTATGTTTGTATATCTATGTGGGCCTGAGTGACTCCCAATCAGAGGCAACGAGTGTCAGCTGGTTGTCTCTGATTGGGAGCCATATTTAACTATCGGTCTTTTCACTTTGTGTTGTGGTTTCTTGTTCCGTTAAGGTTTGTTCGTGTTGTAACCTTAGACGTCACGCATCGTTGGTTATTGTTTTGATCGTGTGATCAGTTAATAAATATATATTATGTTCACCTTCAACGCTGCGCATTGGTCCTCTCTCGTAGACGATCGTGACAGAAGAAACCACCATAACAGGACCAAGCAGCATGAAGAAGAGAGAGGATGGACTTGGGAGCAGTGGAGTAGGAGTCTCGACTGGGCCAAGCCAAGCGAAGAGAAGAGAGGTTGGACTTTGGAGCAGTGGGGTGAGAGTCTGGCGAAAGACATGGAGGCCTGGTCCACGGGGAGAGACACCCAGAAAATTTTTAGGGGGGGGCTCACGACGTCGGACCAGCAGGAGGCCGCGATAGAGCGGCCCAGTGGGTTGCCAGAGGAGGCCGCCAGGTTACGGGGGCCACTGGTCGAAGAGGGGATGGAGGATGTAGAGGCATGGCGAGAGGTACTGGCGTGTGTTGCCAGTCCGGTCCGGCCCGTTCCAGATCCCGGTGTAGGGCCAGTGGTGTGTGTCCCCAGTACGGTCCGGTCTATTCCTGCTCCCCGCACCAAGTCAGGGGTGCGCATCGTCAGCCCGGTTCGGCCCGTTCCTACTCCACGCACCAAGCCTACGGTGTGCGTCGACAGCCCAGCCCGGCCCGTTCCTGCTCTCCGCACCAAGTCTGTGGTGCGCGTCGCCAGCCCAGTCCGGCCCATCCAAGCTCCCCGCACCAAGCCAGTGGTGTGCGTCGTCAGTCCGGCACGGCCCGTGCCTGCTCTCCGCACCAAGTCTGTGGTGCGTTTCGTCAGCCCTGTCCGGCCCGTTCCTGCTCTCCGCACCAAGTCTGTGGTGCGCGTCGCCAGCCCAGTTCGGCCCATCCAAGCTCCCCGCACCAAGTCAGGGGTGCGCTTCGTCAGCCCGGTCCGGCCCGTTCCTGCTCCCCGCACCAAGTCAGTGGTGTGCTTCGTCAGCCCAGTCCGGCCTGTCCCTGCTCCACGCACCAAGCCTACGGTGTGCGTCGTCAGCCTGGTAAGGCCCGTTCCTCCTCCACGCACCAAGCCGGGGGTGCGCGTCGTCGGTCCGGCACAACCCGTGCCTGGGTCATGTCCGGAGCCGGATCCGCCGCCGAGGCGGAGTGCCCACCCGGTCCCTCCCCTGTTGTGGTTGTTTGGCGCGGTCGGAGTCCGCGCCTTTGGGGGGGGGGTACTGTCACGCCCTGGCTCTGGGGACTATGTTATGTTGAGCCAGGGTATGTAAGTCTATGTTTGTATATCTATGTGGGCCTGAGTGGCTCCCAATCAGAGGCAACGAGTGTCAGCTGGTTGTCTCTGATTGGGAGCCATATTTAACTATCGGTCTTTTCACTTTGTGTTGTGGTTTCTTGTTCCGTTAAGGTTTGTTCGTGTTGTAACCTTAGACGTCACGCATCGTTGGTTATTGTTTTGATCAGTTAATAAATATATATTATGTTCACCTTCAACGCTGCGCATTGGTCCTCTCTCGTAGACGATCGTGACACACTTGGCAGGGGATTCCAAAATAATAAATGTCCCCCCTCTGTCTGGCTTCCATCACAGGTGAGTGAAAATTTGCAACATTATGTCAGTCCTGTGCCATGTTTCCACAATGTCTGTGTTGTTGGTCCATGTTCCACTGTTAACTTATAATTCATGCTACAGTAACAGGGGTTTAGCGTGCTCTATCTCCCTCCCTTTATCACACAAATACACAGACAAAGACACAGATACACACATACACACTCCCCGTTGCCATCAGTAAAGCATGAACCATTTGACCAACCGGCACAGCCAACTAAACTACTTATGTAGTTTTTTGGGGTATCTGTACTTTACTATTTATATTTTTGAACACCTTTACTTTTACTCCACTACATTCCTAAAGAAAATAATGTACTTTTTCCTCCATACATTTACCCTGACACCCAAAAGTACTCGTAGCTGGGGATTTGAACAAAGCAAATTTGAGGAAAAGGCTACCGAAGTTCTATCAACACATTGACTGCAGTACTCGCGCTGCTAAAACACTCGACCACTGCTACTCCAACTTCCAGGATGCATACAAGGCCCTCCCCCACCCTCCTTTCGGAAAATCTGACCACGACTCCATTTTGCTCCTCCCTTCCTATAGGCAGACTTGAGTGTCAACTGTTCATAGGAGACTGCGTGAATCAGGCCTTCATGGTCGAATTGCTACAAAGAAACCACTACTAAAGGACGACAATAAGAAGAAGAGACTTGCTTGGGCCAAGAAACACGAGCAGTGGACATTAGACCGGTGGAAATCTGTCCTTTGGTCTGATGAGTCCAAATTTGAGATTTTTGGTTCCAACCGCTGTGTCTTTGTGAGACACAGAGTAGGTAGCCCTTACACACCTCCAGGCTGTGTAAGGGCTATTTGACCAAGGAGAGTGATATTTTGATTTGTTTAACACTTTTTTGGTTACTACATGATTCCATATGTGTTATTTCATAGTTTTGATGTCTTCACTATTATTGTACAATGTAGAAAACAGTAAAAATAAAGAAAAACCCTTGAATGAGTAGGTGTGTCCAAACTCTTGACTGGTACTGTACATAGATTAGAAATCACTGGCCACTTTAATAATGTTTACATTACTCATCTCATATGTATATACTGTATTCTATACTAGTCTACTGTATCTTAGTCTATGCCGCTCTGACATTGCTCATCCATATATTTATTTATATATTCTTAATTCCATTGCTTTACTTAGATTTGTGTGTATTGGGTATATGTTGTGAAATTGTTAGATATTACTTGTTAGGTATACTGCACTGTTGGAGCTAGAAACACAAGCATTTCGCTACACCCACAATAACATCTGCTAAACACATGTATGTGACCAATACAATTTGATTTGATTTAATTTGATTTACATTTTGAATGCTTAGCAGGACAGGACACACTTATCAAGAGAACATCCCTGCTCATTCCTACTGCCTCTGATCTGGCGGACTCACTAAACACAAATGCTTCGTTTATAAATTATGTCTGAGTGTTGGAGTGTGCCCCTGGCTATCCATAAATTGAAAAACAAGAAATTTGTGCTGTCTGGTTTGCTTAATATAAGGAAATAATTTATACTTTTACTTTTGATACTTAAGTATATTTAAAACCAAATACTTTTAGACTTTTACTGTGGTATTTTACTGGGTGACTTTCACTTTTACTGGAGTCATTTACTCAAGTATGACAACGGGGTACTTTTTCAGCTACTGGACACGTGGCGGGAGACAGACGGTGTGAGGCTGGCACACTTTTTACAACTGTATGTCCTGGGGCTAGAAGTAGGAAGATAAGGGAAAGGAGAGCAGAGTCTTACCTGTACATTGTTTGAATATGGCCCTCTCTCCTCCACCGGCTGGAACACCTGCCGTCCTCCTCCCCTGAAGAAGCGAAAGAGGGCAATAAGAACCCGCTGCAGCATACTGCCTGTGTTTCTATAGCACCCTCCTCTCCCTCTTTATCTCTTTCTTTATCTCTATGTTTCGTTTTCTATTTGTCTCGCTCTGTCTTTCAGCCACTAACACTACCTCTCTATCAGTCTCTATGGCTCTCTTCATCTCTTACTCTCCTGGTTGTCTGTGGAGACAGAGTCTCTGTACATAAACAATCCTACCCATATCTACACATGCTCCAGGCTTCTCACTCTCTCTGTCTCCCTCTCTCTTTCTTTCTCTCTCTCTCTCAAGGCTCTCTTCAAATCTCCTCCTCCCTAACTCTCTCTCCTCTCTGTCCCGCCCCCTTCTCTCTGTAGCTCAGTTGGTAAAGCATGGATCTTGCAACGCCAGGATAGTGGGTTTGATTCCCGGGACCCCCCACACGTAAAACATGCATGTCTGTAAATTGCTTTGGATTAAAGTGTCTGCTAAATGGAATATTATATTACAATACTGTGTGTGGTTATTAAGTTGTGTGTGCCTGTGCGTACGTGTGCTGGTATGGAAACTGAATTTTTGTGTGAGTGTCTGTGAATATCTCCAATGTCATCCCCACCTGCTCCAGAAAAGCAAACAGGAAATGCCTTGTCTCTCTCTCTCTCTCTCTCTCTCTCTCACACACACACACACACACACACACACACACACACACACACACACACACACGCACGCACGCACACACACACAGGGATATCGATCTAAGTGCCGATGAGTGAGAGAGATATTGTTTCAGCCCAGGGTCAGAGAGGCTGGCTCAGTGGGGGTGGTGGTTCCCTTTTTGCAAGCTCCGGTAACACAAGGCTTCATGGAGCAACATTCTATCACACACACAAGCCTATCAACTTAGAATAGCACTGTCATGTTGGTCTGTAGTGTACCGTACGTAGCCTATGGTTTATTTTCTCTGTTTTAGTTTGAATTAAATTAAAGGATTTATATTTGTATTGCATTCTAATAAACACCTCACTCTATTTTTTCCTTCATAAAGCCTTTAAAGATTCATGACACCAGAACACCACCAGGAAGATATATTCCCTCTTTGGTTTCTAATCTAGCTCCATGATGGACCACTGAAAAAGTTTTTCTAAAACATTTTGTACCAGCAATTGCCATGCGGGGCTTCTCATTACGAGAGAACCACTTCCATTAAACATATAACAATTATTCAGTCTATGTCAGCAGGTAATTAAATGACAGACCAGTCAGCAACATCTAAAGGTCTGCAGGATGGGAAGTGACAAAATCTGCTCTAAAATGTGAGATTCCATAATGAATGCAGAATATTTGTGTCAAATATGCAGGTTGACGTTTATTGTCACGAGTTTTGCCCTGGAGGCAGAACTGAGCGGTTTCCGCTCGATGGGCCAGCTGCAAAGTCAAAATTGGCTATATTGTAAAAACTAATTAAAGCAAAAAATATATTTTTGGTCTTAATTTAAGGTTAGGGTTAGGCATTATGGTTAGCAGTGTGGTTAAAGTTAAGGTTAGGGTTAGGGTTAAAAAACTATTGTATGACTGTGGCTGTGCCAGCTAGTGACCACTCTGCAGAGCTGCCTCCAGTACATGAGTCATCTTAATAAATGCCAATCTGCGTCAAATATGAGCAGGTTATGGTAATGTTTGAAGCTTAATGGGGGTAGTGATGTAAGAACTGGGGGTGAATGGAGTGCATGGTTGTTACTAGGGTGACTGAGCCACTTCAACAGCCCTGAGTTCCTAATGTAAAGCAATTACCCACACAGCCTCACAGCTAATGACAGACAGCTGAAAAATAAAAGGATATTAGAAAGCCCTTTTATTGAGCGAGAGGCACTTAGCCCCACAAGAGCACCAATAAAACTTTATGGGAGATTGAGAGTGGTGGAGGGTCTTATGTGCTGTAGCTACACACAACATGCCAGAGACCCAGTCCTAAACCCTTTATGTTACATACAAATTACAATATAAACCTAAGAGAATTATAATAGAATGTGGGAAAACATTGAAATTAGGAACAGCAGGTGTGCGCGATCTGGTGTGTAAACCTAACCTATGCTTTGTTTTTTATGAAAGGCAGAGGTAGGCAATGTGCTAGGATGATGGTGAATGGAAGCAACATTGTGTGAATGATTCATGTTGGTGCATGTTCTCATTTACCACAGGCACTGAATTTGCTTTAATGAACAATCAAAGTCTTTAAATGTTTTGATTTGTGACAAAAATGGACTGTGATTGCCATTCAAATAGTCTAGACTCTAGACACAGCGGCAGTGTGAAGAGTACCTAGTACAGTGTTTTAGGCGAGCCATATTTGCATACATATATATCCATATCAAAGGCTAAAATAAACAATTTGCCAACAGAGATCTAGGGTGAAGAAATAATCTACTTCTCTACCTCTTTCAGGCTTTTTTTCTTTTGAAGGACAAATGATCAAACACTGACAGCCCTTTTATTTCTATGCTTCTTCTACAGTAGATGTGAATATATTAAATCAGTAATGCTTTTGCTTTGATCAACCAAACAAGTCAAACATTATTTTTAATTGCCACAGCATCCTGACCTCAGACATCAAAGGAATGGTGGGATAATGATTTTAAGAAACACATAAACTATACACATTGTATTCCAAAGACAAATTAAACTTTGAATGACATACAATGATATCAACATTGCTTAATCACAATCAGGAATTCAGATAACGATTTATAATCAGCATATTCTGTTGTACTTCAGACACAACCACCCAGCCAGCGCATCAACATTTATACACTTACATCTCTGCTGTTGTCGATGGCTGGAACTGCTGACTACGGCACAAGAGGGAGTTTCCACATGCCTGGCCCATCGCTGTCACCTGTCAGTCACAGTCCCTAACAGCTGGAACAGGGCCCCCTCGTCACAGCTCTAACCCCAGTCCACCCTCTCAGTACAGCGGAATGCTGTTATGGTGTCTATCTAAGCAGCAGCATCTCTGCAGCTCGTGGAGAGGAGATGGGTCGTTCCACAAAAAGAGTGACTTTTGCATCCCTTTGATATTTTAAGTAGAAATTGTGCACCAAAGTGTAGAGTTAAAAGCTTGCTATATGAAATGAAAGGCCTTTTAAAGATGTACTCTCTAACTTTTGTATAATTTCAGCCAGTAGTTTTGAAAGTGGTACTCACGAGTCAAAAGTGGTCCCTGTTTTTTTGTGTACTACGTCATTCATTTCATGTGATATGTTACAAATTTTGCAATTTGTATGATATCATACGTATTTTGCCATTCGTGTGATATGTTACAATAATTTGTGCAATATGTTACAAATTTGTTGTGCTTAAGATCCCTGAGTGCATCTTTAATATAGACAACATGAAGAATTCAATAAATCATTTTTTTTTATATGAATAAAGATTTGCTAATGTGCCAAAAGTCAGCATTTTCACATGTCCCTCTGTGCACCCTCTGTGACTTCTAGGAAGATTTTAACCTACTTAACCCCAAAATCTCTCCCAAGTTTTCACCATCATTGTAAAGCCCTAGTTATTTTGTTGCTTTGATAAAGTAATTTCAGAAGATTATTGTGATTAGTGATTCATTTACGTCTGTCCTTCATTTTAAGGTCAACCCTGTTACGTGAACTGAACTCTCATTTTAATATGGTGAAACTATTCCTTCAAACTTTTTTTTGTTGCAACATTGATCATATAATAGTCAAATCATACAGTAAAATCAGGTGAGCTGGTTCTACACTTTTGGGCCCTTTTCTGGTGTTTTGCGGTGGAAAACCAAGTGGGTCGAGCATAAAACTTCAACCCTGTTAACCAAAGATAGACATTTCTTTTTTTTTCCTTTTTTTTTGTTGTTGTTGTGAAGATTGCATTCAATTGCCACTCCCTGATGCACACAACAAGCTTCCATTCCCCCTGTCACAAGGTGATTTATGGCTGATTTAAGATGAAATCATAAACCCTGTTACGGTCAACCCTATTACTTTATTTGACATTTTATTTAAAACGTGTTTTTTTATGAAGATGAACATGTGCTCTTCACAACATAATGTTAAAATTAGGTGAAATATATATATATATTTTTTACCAAGTTGCACTTCTCAAAAGCCACCGAATTGGTGGAACGACCCAGATATAGATAGAGAGAGAGAGAGAGAAACCTCTGGGGCTTCGACGAGCTGGGCACTGGATCGATGCTGAATCTGCAATAGCAACCGGATCAGTCTCCTTTCCCTGCCCTGGCTGCTCTAAGGGTGCTGTCTAGCTAGCCTTACAACTCAGATTGCTCCCGAGTGGCGCAGCGGTCTAAGGCACTGCATCTCAGTGGCGTTACTACAGACCAAGGTTCGATTCCAGGCTGTATCACAATCCGGCCGTGACTGGGAGTCCCATAGGGCGGCGCACAACTGGCCCAGCGTCGTCCGGGTTTGGCCGGGGTAGGCCGTCATTGTAAATAAAAATGTGTTCTTAACTGACTTGCCTAGTTAAAAATAAAATAAAAATATTCCTTTTCATGTTAAGGTACTGTTAAAAGATGAGCTATTGAAATTAATGAAAGTAATATAAACTGCACATCTCTGTAATACAACAAGCTGTGGTCTTGAGTAATGACAGGGTAGAAATCCTGCTCTCCATTAATTACTGACCACCACTGTTACCATAATGACATGAACAGAAAGCTCTGTGTCTAATCTTAGATGGCTTTACTACTACAGCTCTCCAACATTGTCATTATGTCCACCTCAAAGTCAACATGGCGTTTAGATTATATTTCTCATGTGCCTCTAATATTATTGTTATTCATATTTAGAATGGGAGTTTGTTGTTATATTGTAGTTCTATACTGCCTCCCCTATTATTACCATAGCTGTGGGTTATAAATAGGTTCAACCAAATATTAACAGAGAAAATATATACTTTGAGGTTATTGATTTGATATACTGTAAAAGCGCATTTCTTTCCAGAAAAGACCTGAAGACTTGAAGTACATGGGATTGGGAAAGCAGGATCAGGTTATTTCCGCTTCAGCCTCAGATCAAGAATCTAGCCTGGAAGCTGCTGGCCACAGGTCACCATCATGCTATGAGAGAATGAATAAATACAAAAAAAGGTGATGAGAAAAGCAAAAGTAGAAAAAAAGCAGGACATTTTATTGCCACAAAAAGATAATCTCTAGGATAATTACCTGGAGGCTCATAAAAGTGGCCAGCCACTCGATCAGCTCCTTCTTTGATTCACAGCACAGGTACCTGCGAAGATTGGTAGTGGGCGGGGGAAGGGCTAGATCTTTACCATGATCCTCAGCAGAGCTTAAGTGCTCTAATTACTACTGTTTACCGATCTTGAGTTGCTACTAAAGACACTCACCATTGCTGTATGTCTCGTACTGCCTTCTCACACACTACAGTCATCCCCCAGCTAGAACACAAGATCATAAGAAAGGAGAGCAAGGACATGATATGGACAGCTGATATGGACTCAAATGATTTGAAATGGGGGGTTGCTGGTTAAAGCCACAAGTGGGACATTCAGAGATTCTCACCATGACGGTGGCTGTAGCTTCTTCTTGATACCACAGTAGACCTTCAGAGCATGGACTGGACACTCCCTCTCAGGCTGAGAACTCTACAAGATGAGCAAACAAAGCTGTTGTTACACAAATACTGCATATACATTACAGGAGTCTCACACTGTCAGAAACAAACAACACACACACATCCCCTCTTACCTTTACTTCTTTGTACAGCCTTAGAGACACGCCACTGAGCACACAGAGGCGTCTGCTGAAGGTTCCCTTACCCCGTTGACGCTTCTCTTCACAGAACTTGATCAGACCGTTTCTTGACACATCTACCCTGCCTGCTGTGAAAGGGGACATCCAACTCTCATTTACTTTGTACACATTTTCTACCATATCATTAACACATCTCCTTCCCCCTTTTCATTGGACTTTCTCTTCCGTTATCAATGCTTTTTTTTTTACAGAATATATGCAATTGTGTAAGTATATTTATAGTATGTACTGGTCATTCAAAACTTGATGTAGTAAAGTTTAACTTTGTAGTCAATCCAAAACTGACTATGTAGTCATTCAAAACTCCTTCAAAATACTGTACCTATGTTGATGAGAATGGCCTCCATGTAGCAGTTCCTCTTGACCACCAGATGACAGTCTTTACCCAGAGAGAAATAGATGGTCAGCACTCGCTCCTGATAGTGCAATGGACGCTCTGTTGGGGGAACCAGAGAAGTATGTATTTGACCACTAGTTTACAGTTGAGCACTAGCGTTCATTATAACAATATAAGATATTTTACACTTCATTACCAACAGCTGTCCTACTCCTCAAACATTTAAGAAGATACTTTGCAACTGTAACTGAGGTGTTCTAAACCATTACCTATCTCCTGGTTGTCGCTGACCAGGAAGCAGCTCCAGTAGTCCCCCTGCTGTGGAGGGATGTTCCTGCGTCTCAGGACCTTACCTACCAGCTCCGCAGCACTCACTTCCTGGGAGATCTGAGGGAGGGGAGCAGGCAGGGGAGCTTATGATCATCTGGGCACAAAAAATTGCAGAAGAACACCCTGTACTGTAGTCTATGGATTCTAGAGTCAAAGGTGAAAGGGGAGAGTGCACATGGAGCTGACCTGAACCAGCAGTTCAGAGCCCTCCGCCTTCCTCTCGAGGTAAACCCCACAGATGGTGAGAGGTGAGGGGCTTCCCTACAGAACAGGATGAAGAGAAAGATGCAGCAGGCCAACAGCCATCCTTATTCCAGCAAATAGTAAGAGATAGATAGTATAGGTCAAGGATTTAATAATTTCAGTTGTGTGGCAAACAACTGCTGCAAGGGGTTCTGAAAATGTCATTATGCCATGGGTGTGTGCTCACCTCCTCAGCGTGTTCCTCCTGCGCTTTGATGACATGAGAGATCATGTCCAGCTGCCTCTGAAGCTGCTCTGCATCCACCTGCCACACAGACAGACAGATACATTCCATCCATCTGATCAGGCCATTTCATTTGGCTTCTTGTGACAACACAGTGCATTTCGCTCTCTTTATCTTCTATAAATCAGTGATGTCATCAGTGTGAGACAGACACACTCACATTGAAGATGTCCTGGTAGTTCTGGATTAGATCCTCTACCACCTGTCCTGCGCTTTTATCAGTGCCGTCCGTCTGGAAGAGCGTGGGACCAAACACAATGGCCAGGTTGTGCATGTTCATCTGATTCTCATTTGCAAAGCACTGGATGCTTTGGGAACAAAATCGCCAGATTTGTACAACAGCGATGCATGTCTTGAATTTTCGAAGACAAATTAGCTCAGCTGGTAGAGCACGGCGCTTGTAACGCCAAGGTAGTGGGTTCGAACCCCGGGACCACCCATACACAAAACATTTATGCACGCATGACTGTAAGTCGCTTTGGATAAAAGCGTCTGCTAAATGGCATATTATTATTATATTATTGAATTTTCTAAGACAAATTAGTCAATTCCTTATATATAAACTGTATATAAACTATTTTTATTCTACTTATAGGTGAATAAAGGACAAATGTCCCAAATATAAACTCATATTCTCATCAGGTCCAGTGGGAAAGAGGAAGATTTTTCCAGAATGGAGATAAGAAAATAAGAAGGAGGACAGACAGACGTAGAGATTGAGGCTCACCAGTAGAGGTGGTTGATGACAGCCCCCAGAGTGGCTCTGTTGACTGGGGGGAGGCTGTGGAGGAGGGCCTGGTACTTGGACACTCTCTCACTCATCTCACTGACAGCTGGTGGACATAGAAGAAGAATACCTACACATTACAGCACACAACTCCCTATCATGGGGCTACCACTGAGTACGTTTACATGCACACTAATAATTCTATATTAAACTGATTATGGCAGAAGACAGAGTATGACATTAGTCATGTAAACACCTTACTCTGCTTATCTTAATCGGCGTACGGTCATAATCGAAGTAAGCATATGCTGATTAAAACACCTAGTTTTCTGAGCAATCTTTAGAATTATTAGGACATGTAAACAGCTTAATCGGCGTTCCAGTGGTGTATTTGATCTGCGCATATGCAAGCACCGGGTAGTGCAAACCTCCCTATTATGCGTGAGTGAAGTAAGTTCGGAAAAACTGAAAGTATGCATGTTATAAATCGTTTTTACTTACAAACTTTATATGTCTGAACTCAGAATCAAATAGCCTTCGCAAAAATAACATGATCACTATGGTAGAACGTTCATTTTAATTGACGATTTTCTGCATTTATCAAAAGTCCCATCAGTAGCCTGATTTCAGGTGTAAACAGGATTATTAGGGAAATCGTTCTTCTTGCAAAACATGTAAATGTTTTAAACAAGCTATTATATTAACCTGACTATCCACAATAATCACATTATTGTGTGCATGTAACAGTGCTCAATGATACGACTACCAAGACGAGCAGTGAAAAGCAGTGGTGTTGTCATTGTGGTCCACCAGTATTAGAATAAGGGTAGGCCAGACTCACTAGTGGTGTGGAGCCATGGCAGAGAGGCCTGATAGCCGTTGAAAACACCATCTCCCACTTCCCTGAGGAACCTCTTCAGGACATTGGCCACGTCATCCACCTGGCGCTCCCCTTCACTCAGACGGACCTGCCGGGCATCATGGCGGAGAAAGAACAGTAGGGCGGCAATCCTGGAGTTCACACCACACCTCCGATAGATGCCCTCTGACTTCAAACCTGGAAAGGAAACCGTCATAAAGAAACAAATTAACACTGAACCATTAACACAGACTTCCAAATACACTGATACTGAAATTAGTGAAGCTAGTAAGAGCTTATCTTTTGTTAGGTCTCCGTCCCAACCGATGCCATGCTAGGTCCACCCACCATGCTGTGTGATGTAGCTCATGCAGCGGTCCACGATGACAGGGACGTCTGTCTCAGTGAGCTGCTGCTGTTCCAGGGGGCCTTCTCCTCTCCCTGAGCCCTGCTTGAGCCCACTCAGCCAGCCCTGGAAGTCAGGCCTCCTGACCCCCTCCACACGCAGGCTCCTGCCTCTGTCCACCAGCACCACAGCACCAGCACCAGCCTCCTGCTCAATGGCTAAAACAGGGACACAAAACAACATACAATATCATGACTCACACAATCAAACACTGTCTACATCAACATGTACATCAACATAGTAGCTGTTTTATTCCGTGCAGCCAAATATATATCACTCTTACATCATTAGTACAACAACACACACTAAAACCTTAAACTTCACTAAACTTCTCCCTCTACAGTACATCCTAATCTCTCCACTGTGGTAGTTTCAGGGGTGACTCACAGAGCTCCTTTATTTTGCGCAGGTCGATGTTCTCCACTCGATCTGCTCCGTGGAGGAGTAGGCGCAATCTGGAGCCCCCCAGGGAGAACCAGCCCAGGCGAGGGCAATGGAGGCTCTGGCCCTCAGTGTAGCGCAACTGGCCCACCCTCTCAAAGGACCAGCACACCAGGTCCTCTGCTGCAGATGGGACTAGCGCCTGACACACAATAAGATAAGACAGTACCTAGCTATACACTTGCAAAACTACTAATTACCAGTCTATCATAATACTCATTGAAATCTAGTTTTAAAGAGGTGGTTACCTTGGCGATGGCCTTGATCCACCCTCTCACTTTGTCAGAGGAGTCTTCTCCAAATAGATAGACTTTCCCAGAGTCATGGTACAGCTCAAAGGAATGGGCATAACTGAGCCAGGAAAGGTACAGTGTGGTAAGAAATATATATATAAACATTGTACTGAAGCCTACACTGATAGGGTTTTATAAACTCCCAATGATGCCTAAATGGTATAAACAGCTGCACTTGCTACACCCTGGAAAAGTACATGTGATCTGCTCACGTCATTACTGATGGGGGTGAATGTGTTTTGCCTGTCTTACCCATGTTTCCCTAGGGGGTTGACCAACAGACACAGGACATCACTCATCTTCATCCCTCCCCTCTGACTGGAGCTCTTCTCACTCTCATAGTAGCTGAAGTTACCTTGGTTCAGAGAGCACCAGCGACGACTAAAATCTATAGAAAATCTATACACTTAGCTGATGGTAACTGTATTGGCATTAATAACACTTCCCTAAGAGGACTGTCCAAGTTGGTCATTATTTCACCTGACCAATAGACATTTAGATCTAAACAGGGTTGGGGAGTAACTGTTTACAATAAAGCTGTAGCTGTAATCAGTTACATTACCAGCAAAAATATTGTAATCAGATTACAATACTTTTTTAAAACTAGATGATTACTTCTTGGATTACTTTTAAATTCAGAACGGATGTTTGCTAAATACAATTATATGACACCATTCTATTTTCTCATTGACATTCAATTCAACATTGAAAAAAGGCTCAAGTTTAAGTTTGTTCCACTAATAGTCAGACCACTATTATGACACACCAAATGCATTTGATGGATCCTTTGTGTATTCTTCTAATGCCTCTTAAGGGGAAAGTAATCCAAAAGTAATCAGATTACATTACTGAGTTTGGATAACCCAAAAGTTATGTTACTGATTACAATATTGGACAGGTAACTAGTAACTTTAAGGGATTACATTTAGAAAGTAACCTACCCAACCCTGGATTTAAAGCATGTCCAAACAAATCCCAGAGATTCAAGTTTATACATAGTGCCATGATTGACCCACCTCCTTTTGCTTTGTGCTCTGTTACTGGCCGTATTGAGGAAGCGGTCTTGAAGAGATAACCAGTGTGTGAGACGGGGAAAGCAGCCTCTAGGAGTGTGTGATCTCCAGCCCTAGACCCTGGCAGCTCTAGAGAGGAAATACATACATTTACATTACATTTACATTACATTTACATCATTTAGCAGACGCTTTTATCCAGAGCGACTTACAAATTGGTGCATTCACCTTATAGCCAGTGAGATAACCACTTAACAATATGTTTGTTTGTTTTTTTTTGGGGGGGGGGGGGGGGGGGGGTAAGGGGGGGGTAGAAGGATTACTTTATCCTATCCCAGGTATTCCTTAAAGAGGTGGGGTTTCAAGGTTCTCCGGAAGGTGGTGAGTGACTCCGCTGTCCTGGCGTCGTGAGGGAGCTTGTTCCACCATTGGGGTGCCAGAGCAGCGAATAGTTTTGACTGGGCTGAGCGGGAACTGTGCTTCCGCAGAGGTAGGGGGGCCAGCAGGCCAGAGGTGGATGAACGCAATGCCCTCGTTTGGGTGTAGGGACTGATCAGAGCCTGAAGGTACGGAGGTGCCGTTCCCCTCACAGCTCCGTAGGCAAGCGCCATGGTCTTGTAACATAGAACTACTGTTGTCTCCTATACTGAACAAAACAGAAATGTCCTGTGTCCAATACAAGTTGGATGTAAAGTTGGAGCAGAGGGTTCTCTTTCATATATTTTATTGGAGTTTTTATTTGTTTAAGTGCATGACAACACAAAACATGCCACCTGGTGGCAGAAAAGCCACACAGCATCCATAAACAACAACTTCATACAACAGGAGACAAAACAACACTGACAAACAATTGACAACAAAAACAAAGAGCAATAATAATGATACAGTTAATTTGGGTCATTTACGACACCAGCTACGTTGTGGTCATGAGCTTTGGATACGAAAACTAAATAAAATAGGCGCATTGTTCCAGACCTGTACAGGCCGTCGGAGATGCACCCAGAAAAAATATAAATGGAGTGGAGGGTTGATTGATGAGACTCCTACCTGTGTTGTGGTTGTGAGTGAGGAACTCCACCTGTAGTATCTGTCCATAGTGTTGGGCCATGGACACAGGGCTGGGCAGCTCTGGATCACCTGTATAACAATTCACATCTGCTCCACAGAACACCAGAGACAGAGTCTCCAATACATCACCCGTCTGAACGGTACTGCACAGAGCCTGAGAGGTAGGCAGGGATGGAGAGAGAGAGAGAGAGAGAGATAGAGGGAGAGGGAAGGAGAGAGAGAGAGAGAGAGAGAGAGATCGAGGGGAGAGAGTAGAAGAGAGAGAGATAAGAAGCGCTCTATCTCTCCGCGATCATCAGAGCAGAACATACATTCTAAACTTTTGAGAGTATGAGATGGAGAAGAGAGAAGAGAGAGAAACATAGATATCAGATGAGAGAGAGAGAGAGAGATAAGAGAGCGATAGTATAGTCTCGATAGCGAGATCTCTAGATCTATAGCATAGAACGATGATCTCCTATCGATCCCCTATCTGCCTCTCTTCTTCCTAAGTCTCGATAAGCGACTCCATCAGAGCAGAAAATACATGTCTAAACTTTTGAGAGTATAGATTGAGAGAGAGAGAGAAAGAGGAGAAAATAGAGAGAAGAAGAGAGAGCATAGTAGAGAAGAGAGAGAGAGGAGAGAGAGAGTGACATTGACAGTAGAGTTTCTCACTTTGTTGAGGGCCTCCTGTTGGCCAAACAGAGCATGGTAGCGGCGGTATTTCCCCTGACAGTACTTAGCAGTGATAAAGCGCTGGCGCTTCTCACTATCACTTGATGGGTGGAGCGCCTCGCTTGGTGGCATGTTAGCTGCCCAGAACAGGTTTACCCTGTTGTTACCTAACAGGAACACCTGGTGAACAGAGAGTGACATTAGAACCTTGATCTGAAAGATGTACAGTGGGGGAAAAAAGTATTTAGTCAGCCACCAATTGTGCAAGTTCTCCCACTTAAAAAGATGAGAGAGGCCTGTAATTTTCATCATAGGTACACGTCAACTATGACAGACAAATTGAGAAAAGAAAATCCAGAAAATCACATTGTACGATTTTTAATGAATTTATTTGCAAATTATGGTGGAAAATAAGTATTTGGTCACCTACAAACAAGCAAGATTTCTGGCTCTCACAGACCTGTAACTTCTTCTTTAAGAGGCTCCTCTGTCCTCCACTCGTTACCTGTATTAATGGCACCTGTTTGAACTTGTTATCAGTATAAAAGACACCTGTCCACAACCTCAAACAGTCACACTCCAAACTCCACTATGGCCAAGACCAAAGAGCTGTCAAAGGACACCAGAAACAAAATTGTAGACCTGCACCAGGCTGGGAAGACTGAATCTGCAATAGGTAAGCAGCTTGGTTTGAAGAAATCAACTGTGGGAGCAATTATTAGGAAATGGAAGACATACAAGACCATTGATAATCTCCCTCGATCTGGGGCTCCACGCAAGATCTCACCCCGTGGGGTCAAAATGAAAAAATCCCAGAACCACATGGGGGGACCTAGTGAATGACCTGCAGAGAGCTGGGACCAAAGTAACAAAGCCTACTCCCCATCAGTAACACACTACGCCGCCAGGGACTCAAATCCTGCAGTGCCAGACGTGTCCCCCTGCTTAAGCCAGTACATGTCCAGGCCCGTCTGAAGTTTGCTAGAGTGCATTTGGATGATCCAGAAGAGGATTGGGAGAATGTCATATGGTCAGATGAAACCAAAATAGAACTTTTTGGTAAAAACTCAACTCGTCGTGTTTGGAGGACAAAGAATGCTGAGTTGCATCGAAAGAACACCATACCTACTGTGAAGCATGGGGGTGGAAACATCATGCTTTGGGGCTGTTTTTCTGCAAAGGGACCAGAACGACTGATCCGTGTAAAGGAAAGAATGAATGGGGCCATGTATTGTGAGATTTTGAGTGAAAACCTCCTTCCATCAGAAAGGGCATTGAAGATGAAACGTGGCTGAGTCTTTCAGCATGACAATGATCCCAAACACACCGCCCGGGCAACGAAGCATTTCAAGGTCCTGGAGTGGCCTAGCCAGTCTCCAGATCTCAACCCCATAGAAAATCTTTGGAGGGAGTTGAAAGTCCGTGTTGCCCAGCGACAGCCCCAAAACATCACTGCTCTAGAGGAGATCTGCATGGAGGAATGGGCCAAAATACCAGCAACAGTGTGTGAAAACCTTGTGAAGACTTACAGAAAACATTTGACCTGTGTCATTGCCAACAAAGGGTATATAACAAAGTATTGAGAAACTTTTGTTATTGACCAAATACTTATTTTCCACCATAATTTGCAAATAAATTCATTAAAAATCCTACAATGTGATTTTCTGGAGAAAAAAAATCTCATTTTGTCTGTCATAGTTGACGTGTACCTATGATGAAAATTACAGGCCTATCTCATCTTTTTAAGTGGGAGAACTTGCACAATTGGTGGCTGACTAAATACTTTTTTCCCCCACTGTATCCCTTTATTGACAGGGTGAGCTATGAGAGAGTTCTTCTTTTCAAAGGACAACATGTAAATGAATACAAATATACAAATAAGAGGAAGCATAGTGTGAGGAACATAAATAGAAGAGGACCACATATGGGTGCTGAGGATGAGGTTACTAATAGAATACTCATTAGAGACTGTGCCTACCTGAATAAGGTTATCAGTCCACACTGTTTCATCCATCCTCAGACTGCGAACTTTGGACACACTCTGGCCCAGACCCCTGTGCACGCCTAATCCACAGAGAGATGTCAGAGTTAGATTTCAATGTCCTCTACCAGGCATTGTTATCCAATGGAAATGCATGTGCACTGTACCAATGTGGTACAACTGTTATTAACCTGAAATATTTTAAAATCAAATTCTATTTTGTTTGTCACATGTGCCGAATACAACGGGTGTAGACTTTACTGTGATAGGCTTGCTTACGATCCCTTCTGAATGGGATCGTAAGCACGAGGCTAGCTAACCTAGCGGGTAGCTACTGGTAACTTTTAGCAACGGTGGATAGTTGTTTCCAATGTTATTTCACGCTTAAGAGTACCTGTAATTAAGCCAGCTAGCTACCTACCATTCAGCTGTTTTTCTAACCTCATTATCTGAAGCATTAACCGATAGAGCTAGCTAGCTAGCGGGTAGCTACTGGTAACTTTTAGCAACGGTGGATAGTTGTTTCCAATGTTATTTCACGCTTAAGAGTACCTGTAATTAAGCCAGCTAGCTACCTACCATTCAGCTGTTTTTCTAACCTCATTATCTGAAGCATTAACCGATAGAGCTAGCTAGCTAGCGGGTAGCTACTGGTAACTTTTAGCAACGGTGGATAGTTGTTTCCAATGTTATTTCACGCTTAAGAGTACCTGTAATTAAGCCAGCTAGCTACCTACCATTCAGCTGTTTTTCTAACCTCATTATCTGAAGCATTAACGTTAGGTAGTTAGTAGCTAGTGTACTTAATTACAGCTACTGATTGCAGAAAACCACCCAGACAGCTGGCGTCGGGTAAGTTTGGCTTTATGCATAGCTTGGGCTTTGTCGAGTAAGGCTTAAACTATGTATTTAGATTGTAGTTGGGTATTGTAGCTAGGCATCGTGGGTTGTTGTGGGTAGTTGTTGTATGTAGTTATTGTAGGTTACTTTTGTATTCGGCGGTGCCGGGTGTAGCACGAAGCTAGCTAGCTAACTCACCTCCTGGACTAGCTGATTAGCAACGGTAGCAACTAAATACAATATCCTTTTAGCCAGCTACATTCGTTCGCAGCGACGCCGTTTTTCAAACAAAGTCAACACAGCAGCCATTGCTAGCTAGCCAACACTACCAGCTAGCTGTACTGTAGTAGCTAAATACAATATCTTTGTGCTAGCTAGCCAACGTTTAATTATTGCTGCGTTATGAAAGAACTAGACACGGACACGAATTATCTGTTTAGTGTGTTAACACACTATTGGTAGTTTGTTGTAACCAAGTATTGGTGCTAAACTGTGTGTTATTGGATGCTAGCATGCTAGTTAGCTATGGCGTCATAGTTAGTTAGCTGAATAAAGTAAGTTGAGTCTATTCCTTGAAACATTGAACCGCTGTAGTTTACAACAATTCTAATTTCTAAAGTGGAAGTTGGGAGAGTTTTATTCGGGTGGTTCAGTGAAACAATTATAGTTTCTGAGGTGGAAGTTGGGAGAGTTATATTTTTTTGGTGAGGGAGGCCCTGCTCTCTCCTTTCCCAGATGTTCAGTTCATTTCATTCCGATCTCCTCTGCATTATTGTAGCCATCTGCTACAGCCTGTCAACTATGCCTCTGCCTATCCCTGTTCTCTCCTCTCCGCACAGGCTACACAAACGCCTCACACCGCGTGGCTGCTGCCTCTCTAACCTGGTGGTCCCTGCACGCACCACACACCTGGAGTTCCAGGTCTCAGGCAGCCTCTGGAACTGCCGTTCTGCTGCCAACAAGGCTGACTTCATCCCAGCCTATGCTACCCTCCAGTCCCTCGACTTCCTGGCGCTGACGGAAACATGGATTACCACTGAAAACACTGCTACTCCTACTGCTCTCTCTCCTCGTCTGACCATGTGTTCTCGCATACCCCGAGAGCATCTGGTCAGAGGGGTGGTGGCACAGGAATCCTCATCTCTCCCAAGTGGTCATTCTCAATTTTTCCCCTAACCCATCTGTCTATCTCCTCATTTGAATTCCACGCTGTCACAGTCACTAGCCCATTTAAGCTTAATATCCTTGTCATCTATCGCCCTCCAGGTTCCCTTGGAGAGTTCATCAATGAGCTTGACAAGTTCCTTTCCTGAGGATGGCTCACCCCTCACAGTTTTGGGGGATTTCAACCTCCCTACGTCTACATTTGACTCATTTCTCTCTGCCTCCTTCTTTCCACTCCTCTCCTCTTTTGACCTCACCCTCTCACCGTCCCCCCCTACTCACAAGGCAGGCAATACGCTTGACTTCATCTTTACTAGATGTTGCTCTTCTACTAATCTCACTGCAACTCCCCTCCATGTCTCCGACCACTACTTTGTATCCTTTTCTCTCTCGCTCTCCTCCAACACTACTCACTCTGCCCCTACACAGATGGTAACGCGCCGCCGCAACCTTCGCTCTCTCTCTCCCACTACTCTCTCCTCTTCCATCCTATCATCTCTTCCCTCTGCTCAATCCTTCTCCCTCCAATCTCCTGATTCTGCCTCCTCAACCCTCCTCTCCTCCCTTTCTGCATCCTTTGACTCCCTGTGTCCCCTATCCTCCCGGCCGGCTCGGTCCTCCCCTCCAGCTCCGTGGCTTGATGACTCATTGCGAGCTCACAGAACAGAGCTCCGGGCAGCGGAGCGGAAATGGAAGAAAACTAAACTCCCTGCCGACCTGGCATCTTTTCACTCCCTCCTCTCTACATTTTCTTCATCTGTTTCTGCTGCTAAGGCCACTTTCTACCACTCTAAATTCCAAGCATCTGCCTCTAACCCTAGGAAGCTCTTTGCCACATTCTCCTCACTGCTGAATCCTCCCTACTTTGTATCCTTTTCTCTCTCGCTCTCCTCCAACACTACTCACTCTGCCCCTACACAGATGGTAACGCGCCGCCGCAACCTTCGCTCTCTCTCTCCCACTACTCTCTCCTCTTCCATCCTATCATCTCTTCCCTCTGCTCAATCCTTCTCCCTCCAATCTCCTGATTCTGCCTCCTCAACCCTCCTCTCCTCCCTTTCTGCATCCTTTGACTCCCTGTGTCCCCTATCCTCCCGGCCGGCTCGGTCCTCCCCTCCAGCTCCGTGGCTTGATGACTCATTGCGAGCTCACAGAACAGAGCTCCGGGCAGCGGAGCGGAAATGGAAGAAAACTAAACTCCCTGCCGACCTGGCATCTTTTCACTCCCTCCTCTCTACATTTTCTTCATCTGTTTCTGCTGCTAAGGCCACTTTCTACCACTCTAAATTCCAAGCATCTGCCTCTAACCCTAGGAAGCTCTTTGCCACATTCTCCTCACTGCTGAATCCTCCCCCCCACCCCCCCCCCCCCACCCCCCCCCCCCCCCCCACCCCCCCCCCCCCCCCCCCCCCCCCCTCCTCCCTCTCTGTGGATGACTTCGTCAACCACTTTGAAAAGAAGGTTGACAACATCCGATCCTCGTTTGTTAAGTCTAATGACACTGCTGGTCCTGCTCACACTACCTGCCCTACCCTATGCTTTGACTTCTTTCTCCCCTCTCTCTCCAGATAAAATCTTGCGACTTGTGACTGCAGGCCGCCCAACAACCTGCCCGCTTGACCCCATCCCCTCCTCTCTTCTCCAGACCATCTCCGGTGACCTTCTCCCCTACCTCACCTCGCTGATCAACTCATCCTTGACCGCTGGCTATGTCCCTTCCGTCTTCAAGAGAGCGAGAGTTGCACCCCTTCTCAAAAAACCAACACTCGATCCCACTGATGTCAACAACTACAGACCAGTATCCCTTCTTTCTTTTCTTTCCAAAACTATTGAGCGTGCCGTCTTTAGCCAACTCTCTTGCTATCTCTCTCAGAATGACCTTCTTGATCCAAACCAGTCAGGTTTCAGGACTGGTCATTCAACTGAGACTGCTCTTCTCTGTGTCACGGAGGCTCTCCGCACTGCTAAAGCTAACTCTCTCTCCTCTGCTCTTGTCCTTCTAGACCTGTCTGCTGCCTTTGATACTGTGAACCATCAGATCCTCCTCTCCACCCTCTCCGAGCTGGGCATCTCCGGCGCGGCTCACTCCTGGATTGCGTCCTACCTGACCGGTCGCTCCTACCAAGTGGCGTGGCGAGAAGCTGTCTCCGCACCACGTGCTCTCACCACTGGTGTCCCCCAGGGCTCAGTTCTAGGCCCTCTCCTTTTCTCCCTATACACCAAGTCACTTGGCTCTGTCATATCCTCACATGGCCTCTCCTATCATTGCTACGCTGACGATACACAACTAATCTTCTCCTTTCCCCCTTCTGATAACCAGGTGGCGAATCGCATCTCTGCATGTCTGGCAGACATATCAGTATGGATGACGGATCACCACCTCAAGCTGAACCCTGGCAAGACGGAGCTGCTCTTCCTCCCGGGGAAGGACTGCCCGTTCCATGATCTCGCCATCACGGTTGACAACTCCGTTGTGTCCTCCTCCCAGAGTGCGAAGAGCCTTGGCGTGACCCTGGACAACACCCTGTCGTTCTCCGCTAACATCAAGGCGGTGACCCGATCCTGCAGGTTCATGCTCTACAACATTCGGAGAGTACGACCCTGCCTTACACAGGAAGTGGCACAGGTCCTAATCCAGGCACTGGTCATCTCCCGTCTGGATTACTGCAACTCGCTGTTGGCTGGGCTCCCTGCCTGTGCCATTAAACCCCTACAACTCATCCAGAATGCCGCAGCCCGTCTGGTGTTCAACCTTCCCAAGTTCTCTCACGTCACCCCCCTCCTCCGCACACTCCACTGGCTTCCAGTTGAAGCTCGCATCCGTTACAAGACCATGGTGCTTGCCTATGGAGCTGTGAGGGGAACGGCACCTCCGTACCTTCAGGCTCTGATCAGTCCCTACACCCAAACGAGGGCATTGCGTTCATCCACCTCTGGCCTGCTGGCTCCCCTTCCTCTGCGGAAGCATAGTTCCCGCTCAGCCCAGTCAAAACTGTTCGCTGCTCTGGCACCCCAATGGTGGAACAAGCTCCCTCACGACGCCAGGACAGCGGAGTCACTCACCACCTTCCGGAGACATTTGAAACCCCACCTCTTTAAGGAATACCTGGGATAGGATAAAGTAATCCTTCTACCCCCCCCCCCCCCCCCCCCCCCCCCCCCCCCCCCCAAAAAAAAAGTTAAGTGGTTATCCCACTGGCTATAGGGTGAATGCACCAATTTGTAAGTCGCTCTGGATAAGAGCGTCTGCTAAATGACGTAAATGTAAATGTAATGCAGTTTTTAAAAAATTATAGTAACACAAGAGGAATAAAATATACAAGAATTAAGCTATATACAGGGAGTACCAGTACCAGATCAATGTGCAGGTGTACAAGGTAATTGAGATAGATATGAACATGAAGGCAGGCTAAAATGGCATCAGGATAGATAATAATAAGAGTAAAATAAAGAACAGAGTAGCAGCAGGATATAATGAGTGATCTTGACCAATCAATGCTCTTGACCAATGACTCTCTGAGTCTGGACTTTATCTAGGCATGGTTCTTCTGTACCTGCACAGCACTTGCAGAGGACCACACAGAGGTTGACAGAGGCCCAGTCTGGGTGGGGGGCGCCACAGTCAGCACAGCGCTGGTTGGCCTTCTCAGCCCAGATCTTGTGGGCCACCACGTCACTGGACAGAGAGCGACTGACACAGGCCTGCAGGGCAACCACCCACTGATCTCTCTGCTGCGCCGACTCGGCCAGAAAACTAACCAAACAGAACAGGGGTCACAGAGGGTTCACTGTGGGATGACATTAAAGGGTCATTCAGAGGTCAGTCTCACCTGAATGTCCTGTAGAAGGTGGTGAGGTTAAAGGACCGTTTGTCTGTGCTCTTCACAGTACCCACATTCATCTCAATGGAGGTGATGCCAACACCCTGGCTGTACTCCTGATGACAGAGAACATCACAGGTTTTTAAGAATACATAACTGACTCCAAAGGACTTTCATGCACGTTTCTTTTTTTTTGGGACAAATGCATGCACCATGGATACACACCTCAGCGTTCCCGTAGAGGAAGACCCTGTCTGCACAGATGACTACATAGACTTTGGAGCGCAGTCCATTAATCTCCAGGTATCCTTGTTTACTAACGAGAGAGACTCCACTATCACACTGTCCACTGGTAAAACTGAAGTTCATAAGGGACATCTCCATGCTGTTACGATGCTGCTGAATAGTTTCTTTCAGTACTGACACCCATTCCTCCCTGACAGCTGAAAACACACACACACACACATACATACATACATAGATTACACACACAAAGTATTCATATTTCCTCATTGTGATCATTGTTATTTTAGGCTGAACACTTACTGTTGTTTTCAGCACGGAACAAGAAAGTCCTGTTCCTTGTCACCACCTCAAACTTCTGCTCTCCAACGTTAAGCACTTCATTGACAGACGGTATGGCTATGATCCGCTTTGAGTAGACCTCCTGAGGAAAAAGGAGAGAAGGAGTGAGAAGGAAGGGGGGGTCTAATAAGTAAGTTATTTCACAGTATACACTCTGATCTGTGACACTATGTGTGGGTCTATGGAAGACGTCTGAACCTTCTCGTTTTGAAAGTATCGAAGGTACTGTGCATCTAACATCACCCAACGCTTCTGGAAAATAAGGCTCCTGCAAATAAAACAGAGATTACTTACACTCTAAATCATGCACACACACACATGCATGAACAAACACACAAATGTATGCATGTACACACACGCACTCATGCGCACACACACACCCCTCTCTCTTACCCCTGAGGTGGGGTCTTGTCCAGCCAACCCATCTTGATAACAGGAGTGTTGTGAAGATCAGAGTCTCCAGGGTCGTATGATCGTGACAGTGTGCAGGCAAGATAGATACTGTCTTCATCAACCGATGGTGTTCTCCTGAGAAAAGAGATACACACAAAAGCAGCAAGGACATGATGTTCACCTTATCTCATCACGTTTTCTCCAGATGCGAGACAAGTATAAGATAACCAAAACATGTAATCGAAGGAATCACACACAACTCACATGCAAAACAGTTCAAAAGAAACACACCTGTATGCTTCAATGTCCTCACACTCAACCTCCTCCACACTAAACTGACTGCGGAAGCAGTTCTGCATGGCCTGCAATGAATCCTCCTATTGTGCAGAATACAAAATGCTAACAATGTATCAAAATGTCATTATTCACACTTCAATGACTTGTGTACAAAAATAACTCTGGCATGTGTACAATCATAAACACCCATCACTCAATCACTCTAAACATCTGTAATCACACAAAAGAAGAGACAAATGTAGTACATAAACATCTACACATACAGATGCATAACTTACCTGGTCTGCCATGACATCTGAGACGAATAACTGAAGCCAAAGGATTACAGTAAATAAATAGTTTCCCTGTTATGTCGGGAAATGTACAGCTGCGTCACAGGTTCCAATGAAAAACCACAGAATCAAACAGAGAGTCAGACCTCACAACTGATGGCAAGGAAGTAAATGAATACAGTAACTTTATACAGTAACTCAGTCATTTTTTTCCAGAGTCTGAGATTAGTTCACATAGATAAACTGACAGGGTTCGAGTAAGAAATGGGCACTGTCATCTGGCCACCTGTTTGGGATGGCGAGCCCCATCTCTCTGACAATGTTCCTCTTTTCACAGCAGGTATATACAGGAAGTGGGCTTAATATACTGCCGTCAGAGAGACTGATGTTCCTCATGAAACTGCAATCACCCTGAATAAGCAGCCTTTGTCTGACATTTACAGCAGCTTCTCTAATGGCACAAGGCCACATGCACATGAGTAAGGTATGATCCTTTACATATTGACAGAGTGTAACTACAGGCTGACCTGTACTGTATCTTCTGTATATTCTACAGTATATTATAAGGAATACAACTCATTGTAATTTTATGAAAAATACCACTCTTGTTTGAATAAATCTATTGATAACAGTCCATTTTCAACAGATCATCTCAGATATATCATAGAAGCAGATCAGAGAACACAGCAGGCAGGTAAAGCATAGCAGCGAGAGACAATTTGTGACCTTATCTGTAGCTCTTGGGCTCTTGTAACTGTGCTGAACTGCTACCTTTGGACATAAGATGTTGCAGATGCAATGACAGATATGCTCAGTAAAATCAATGTACTGGAGTGATAATATATCTCTGAAAATGTATTTTGCCTTTGCAATAGTGAAGTTTACACTCACCAACCTTAATAGTCTTCTTTCCCTCTTCTCTGGGGAGTGACAGATCTGAGAACATTCTTCTCTGTCTAATTTAGGGTAGTGTAAAACAGAGAGAGAGAGAGAGAGAGAGAGAGAGAGAGAGAGAGAGAGAGAGAGAGAGAGAGAGAGAGAGAGAGAGAGAGGTTTACTGTATATTTTGTATTGTTTATTTCACTTTTGTTTATTATCTATTTCACTTGCTTTTTCAATGTAAACACATGTTTCCCATGCCAATAAAGCACCTTAAATTTAAAATTGAATTGAACTGAGAGAGAGAGAGAGAGAGAGAGAGAGAGAGAGAGAGATCATTGACCACTAGAGGGCTCCCGAGTGGCGCAGTGTTCTAAGGCACTGCACCTCAGTGCTTGAGTCGTCACTACAGACCCCCTGGTTCGATTCCAGGCTCGTAGGGCGGCGCACAATTGGCCCAGCGTCTTCCGGGTTTGGCCGGTGTAGGCCGTCATTGTAAATAACAATTTGTTCTTAACTGACTTGCCTAGTTAAATACAAATACAAATAAAATGAGGGAATAAGGTCCCACAAAATATAATATGAGCCAGACCATAGAGCATAGACTCAGAGATGGCAGCCTTTGTGTATATGATCAGAATGCTTGAAATAAAGATTTGTGTTAACAATTGGTGGTATCACAAATACGATTACTCTGTGCCCTGTCATGCAATAAAATAATGTTGTAGTATGTAACACTAGGAAAGGCTGGCCAGATGTTCCAAAGTCAAATCATCCTGTTTACCGGTAAACAGTTGGCTAGATTAGCCGGCTAATAGTGGAAGTAGGTTTACCATATAATACAAATATGGGAAGTACACTGACATTAGCTGAGAGGCATTAACCAGGTTACCATCCAAAGTTTTTCTGCCTGTAGTGCATGTTACAACAGGCCTGATTTGTCGGTAAATGTTTAAATGTCGACAAAATAACATACGCTAGACAAGGTGGGATCTTTTCCTGTACAATTTATTATGTGATAAATGGCGGTGGGAACCAGAATAAGACCCTCGACATTTATTGGAAAGGTGCATCAAGCTCATCATCGTGCACTTTCACCACCCTGTGAAGTTCACAATAAATTCATAATTTATTTAATCTGTAGCCTAATAAACTGCATGCTTTTCCGAGTCGTAGTGGGAACACCACACAACATATCGCGTGACTCCCAAATGTACTTCGCTATGATGGGTTATTATATCAATATTTGCGAATAAAAAAGGCGTTCCCACCGCCATCACATAATAAATTGTACAGGAAAAGATCCCACCTTGTCTAGCGTATGTTATTTTGTCGACATTTAAACATTTACCGACAAATCAGGCCTGTTGTAACATGCACTACAGGCAGAAAAACTTTGGATGGTAACCTGGTTAATGCCTCTCAGCTAATGTCAGTGTACTTCCCATATTTGTATTATATGGTAAACCTACTTCCACTATTAGCCGGCTAATCTAGCCAACTGTTTACCGGTAAACAGGATGATTTGACTTTGGAACATCTGGCCAGCCTTTCCTAGTGTTACATACTACAACATTATTTTATTGCATGACAGGGCACAGAGTAATCGTATTTGTGATACCACCAATTGTTAACACAAATCTTTATTTCAAGCATTCTGATCATATACACAAAGGCTGCCATCTCTGAGTCTATGCTCTATGGTCTGGCTCATATTATATTTTCTGGGACCTTATTCCCTCATTTTATTTGTATTTGTATTTAACTAGGCAAGTCAGTTAAGAACAAATTGTTATTTACAATGACGGCCTACACCGGCCAAACCCGGAAGACGCTGGGCCAATTGTGCGCCGCCCTACGAGCCTGGAATCGAACCAGGGGGTCTGTAGTGACGACTCAAGCACTGAGGTGCAGTGCCTTAGAACACTGCGCCACTCGGGAGCCCTCTAGTGGTCAATGATCTCTCTCTCTCTCTCTCTCTCTCTCTCTCTCAGTTCAATTCAATTTTAAATTTAAGGTGCTTTATTGGCATGGGAAACATGTGTTTACATTGAAAAAGCAAGTGAAATAGATAATAAACAAAAGTGAAATAAACAATACAAAATATACAGTAAACCTCTCTCTCTCTCTCTCTCTCTCTCTCTCTCTCTCTCTCTCTCTCTCTCTCTCTCTCTCTCTCTCTCTCTCTCTCTCTCTCTCTCTCTCTCTCTGTTTTACACTACCCTAAATTAGACAGAGAAGAATGTTCTCAGATCTGTCACTCCCCAGAGAAGAGGGAAAGAAGACTATTAAGGTTGGTGAGTGTAAACTTCACTATTGCAAAGGCAAAATACATTTTTTTTGCAGTTTATTAGGCTACAGATTAAATAAATTATGAATTTATTGTGAACTTCACAGGGTGGTGAAAGTGCACGATGATGAGCTTGATGCACCTTTCCAATAAATGTCGAGGGTCTTATTCTGGTTCCTTAATAGTCTTCTTTCCCTCTTCTCTGGGGAGTGACAGATCTGAGAACATTCTTCTCTGTCTAATTTAGGGTAGTGTAAAACAGAGAGAGAGAGAGAGAGAGAGAGAGAGAGAGAGAGAGAGAGAGAGAGAGAGAGAGAGAGAGAGAGAGAGAGAGAGAGGTTTACTGTATATTTTGTATTGTTTATTTCACTTTTGTTTATTATCTATTTCACTTGCTTTTTCAATGTAAACACATGTTTCCCATGCCAATAAAGCACCTTAAATTTAAAATTGAATTGAACTGAGAGAGAGAGAGAGAGAGAGAGAGAGATCATTGACCACTAGAGGGCTCCCGAGTGGCGCAGTGTTCTAAGGCACTGCACCTCAGTGCTTGAGTCGTCACTACAGACCCCCTGGTTCGATTCCAGGCTCGTAGGGCGGCGCACAATTGGCCCAGCGTCTTCCGGGTTTGGCCGTCATTGTAAATAACAATTTGTTCTTAACTGACTTGCCTAGTTAAATACAAATACAAATAAAATGAGGGAATAAGGTCCCACAAAATATAATATGAGCCAGACCATAGAGCATAGACTCAGAGATGGCAGCCTTTGTGTATATGATCAGAATGCTTGAAATAAAGATTTGTGTTAACAATTGGTGGTATCACAAATACGATTACTCTGTGCCCTGTCATGCAATAAAATAATGTTGTAGTATGTAACACTAGGAAAGGCTGGCCAGATGTTCCAAAGTCAAATCATCCTGTTTACCGGTAAACAGTTGGCTAGATTAGCCGGCTAATAGTGGAAGTAGGTTTACCATATAATACAAATATGGGAAGTACACTGACATTAGCTGAGAGGCATTAACCAGGTTACCATCCAAAGTTTTTCTGCCTGTAGTGCATGTTACAACAGGCCTGATTTGTCGGTAAATGTTTAAATGTCGACAAAATAACATACGCTAGACAAGGTGGGATCTTTTCCTGTACAATTTATTATGTGATAAATGGCGGTGGGAACGCCTTTTTTATTCGCAAATATTGATATAATAACCCATCATAGCGAAGTACATTTGGGAGTCACGCGATATGTTGTGTGGTGTTCCCACTACGACTCGGAAAAGCATGCAGTTTATTAGGCTACAGATTAAATAAATTATGAATTTATTGTGAACTTCACAGGGTGGTGAAAGTGCACGATGATGAGCTTGATGCACCTTTCCAATAAATGTCGAGGGTCTTATTCTGGTGACATGATGATCGATGCTTGGCTGCCGTTTGACAAATAAAAATAATCTCGCTGTTTTGTCCATAATAAGAATCTCATAACGTAGCCTACCCGCACTGTATCTACGAGTTGTTGGCTAGAGTGCACGTGCGAAAACCTAGTGGCCACAATCACTATATAACGCAACATTTTTGGTGACAAAACGATAAGTAGCCTTGTTGAAAATGCGACGGAAACCCATTTAGGCCTACTTGTATTTTTAATTAGGTAGCCTACATGGGAATTCACACCACTTCGATACAATATGATTTTGGTACACCAGAAGTACATTCATTTCCAATGGAAAGCTGCGTTTGCCTTGCAGCATTGCGTTGCAGAGGCAGTTGCAGTGCGTTCTGTGTGGTGCATTCGTTGGATTTATCGAACGTATGCGTCAAACTGTATGTGTACGGGTTGAGAAGAAATGGTAGCAGAAGGTA